TTCATATATATCATGTATGTCAACCATATAGTATTTACACATAATGAATATATATGAAGACTAGGTCAAGTTCATCGGAACCATTAAAAATAAAAGAAAAATAAAGATACGAAATTCTAATTTTATATACAAGTATTCGACCAAATTTTAGGGTTTCGTTGCAAAATATATTGAAGGTCTAATCAATGATGAATATTCTATAAGATATAGTATAATTAAAACAAAATAAACTTATAATAATATATTAATTTTTTTAGTAATTTTTTTTATTTTTAATTATGTTTTTATTTTAATTTTGTAATAACAGTGTTTGTGTTTATATGATGTGATATAATTCACTTTTCTAGATTGTATGAAATCAGGAAGAATCAGAAGACGACTATCAACAATAGTTGAAATAGCAGAAAATAAATAAATTATAATTATTAACAATAATTATTCAATTTTACTAAACTGACGTTCTAAACCGTATGTATATGAACTTATTAAATTTTTATTTATATAATGAAGTTATAAATTTAAAGATTTTTTATTCAACTATAACTAAGTTATAAAGTTTTTAAAATTTTGTCTCAGCGCAGTTTATATTTATAAGTGGTTTGAAACCTGTGACACTGATGTATTTTGTGAGTCAAGGATTGGAAGATAAAAACTCCTCTTTCCTTGACAATATAATAGATTATACAAAACTTTATTGAACTATAAAAATACTAAAAAAACAATTTTTCTATTATATATCGTATACAGTATAATATTTTAGTATAATTGTTGCTACAACCCTGGCTACGCCACTGAACATTTACAGCTCAATTATATACATGAAGTTATTATTACTTAAATATATTAAAATATAAATAATCTTTTTATAATTATATGTATTTAATTATTTTATATTCAAAGTAGCTATTTTATTGAAAAATAATTTAGTGTGAATAATTCAAGAATAAATTGCATAAAAATATAATTAAATGTAAACACAATAAAATAATAATAATGAATCAATTAAAATAAATTGTAATTAAATGTAATTGAAGTATAATTAATTTGCGTTCAGTTAACTTTTCAAATGTTACTCATAACCCTGACTAGATCAATGCTATACTGATTAAAGTAAAAGAGATTTAAGTACAAATATATAATAATTAACATGAAAAAAATTGTAATCGCTGAATCTTTAATACCCTTGATACAAGCTGTTATGGAGTCCATTATTTATTAATATCTACTATATATGTTTTAAATCTTTAAACCTATTTATGACAATTATTATGTATAGTCATGATGTATAGTTTTATGATAGAGTCAATCAAGTAACTTAATACATTTGTCGGCTTTATCTGCCTAGATTCATAAAAACTCTCTAATATTTTTACTGGCATTTTGACAGACATATAGAAAAACAAAGAAACTAACAAAATATACGCTAAATATAGACTAACAGACAGAGATCGATAAAGTAATTAACATATATAATTTATGAGCATATATAGTCCGTAGGATAAGTAATAAAAATTTTTTTTGTTAAAATGTGACTTTATTCATTAATGTAGTTTCTTTTAAAAGTAATTTAATCATTCCAGCGCTTGTGTAATATTTCGATACCTTTCTTGTAGATTGATTCATCTTTGATCTTAAAATATGTTTAAGTTTTGATGATGACTTTACTCGCTAAGGAACAAATCTATCGAATACAGTTTGAAGTATAATTTGTGCAATCGTTGCCATGGTAGACAATAACTTGATTAAGGAGGACTTTTTTCTTCTTCATACGGGATCGTTTTTCGGGATTTCTTCCTTCAAATGTGCGATATAGCAAACCATGTAACGATCTATATTGATGGTATAGTCATTTTCAAGTTTGTTGATGAATATAATTCCATACATATTCCATAATACGGGCGTTATAAACTTGCCATAACCTCGGTGTTTGTGAAATCGCGTTTAAAATGTACAGCAAATCATTTCTCTACCATCTAGATTCATCTAGATGGGGCAGAATCCCGGTAGCACTTAGCGTCAATTTCTCACTGTCGTGTCAAGACACGTAATCTCTTTGAATCCGTTGTACTTAAAATATAAAAAGCAATTGTGACGAAATGAGCAATCTTTTAAATATCATGGATTTCTCATTAGATATGCTCCAAGTCTGTCATTCTTCGGACCTAATATATATATATATATATATATATGACAACCTGCTCACTGATATATCTCTCACTAGGTCACAAACGACTTAACAAACTTAATATATTTTTTACGAAAGTGTGGAAGGTATAAAAATATAAATACAAAAGAATATATTAAAACACGCTAATATCTTATAATCATTTTCTGTATGTAAATAAGAACTAAAAATACATTGAAAATTAATAACTCCAACTTACAGAAACAAGCTCTTTGAGGTTTTATTTAGTCACATAGTGAATAATATATTTAACTTTATATATTTAATGTTAAAAAAATTATTTAACTTTGTAACAAAACGTGGTGCCTAATACGGTTTTGAATTACAAATAGTTTTTCTTGTCAATGAAGGGAAAAACTCCAAGGTTTAAAAAAAAATGCTCATTTGAAATTCTATGCAACCAATAATTTAAGTACTTTTCCATTACTTATCTGATCACCTATTTTGAGAACAAAACCCCATTGAAGTATTGAACTATTGTAGAGTATTGTCGGACTCAACAGCAAGTGAATCACACCCGCATTTCCTTACTTCGTCACGTTTCATTCTGCGTTCAAAAGTTGTTGCACTGGCTTCGGCGTTGTATGAGATACTCTAGACACACGAGACTTTGACTGTTGAATGCAACCACTGCGTACACATTCAACATTTATTCACAATGATTCAACGCCTCGTCTGTTTTGACTGTCACTTTTTAATATTTGCACACAAATGCAACCGTTTGACATAATGAGTGCAACGCCGAAGACACTACATTCTTCACTACATTCACTTTTCTTTTCACTGAGAATGCATTTTTGTGGGAATTTTCCACTCGCAAGTGTTTGTCTGGTTGGCCCCTTAGCATTGACAATGCCAACTGCAAATCATCGAGGCTTTCGATGTATTTTCTGTGATACGCAACGATATTCGTTAAATCGATTTATGCAAATAATTGATTTATTTTTCTTGAAAATTATTAAGACATCAATTAAGGATTTTAAAAAATTATTGCAAATATTTTTAAATTATTATTCCATTAATAAATAAAAAGTCAATTGTAAAAGCGGAACTGATAAAAGTTAACATCATTTTTATTATTAAAATTCATAAATGGTGTGGAATATTTTAACCAGCAGTCAAATATAAGATTGATTCCAATATTCGAAATATATCCTACAATGTAGGCTGCGATAAGCATATTTAAAATTAGGCTCAATAACCCACCTGTGGTCTTATGTATTTAACTTCATTTGTAGTATTAACCATTATATTAACCATTATAGAAAAATTTTACCTGTCTACACTTCTAAGCACTAGAGTACATGCACTTATTCCAAACTCGACAACATGGCATAGTTAAGAGTTTAATGTAGAGTAACTCGTGAGTCAATGCTTAAAATGTTAAGATTGTGTTTACACTCAGTCTAGTTTGAATGATATAAAGATAATACACCGTAAATCCCAATGACGTAGAAGATGGTTGAATTAGAATTAGATAAGAATTAGATGATAATTATAAAATATCATTATATTATAATTATAATTATTTAAATGATCATTATGTTATATATCATTATTATCATTAATTATTATAAATTAATTTTATAAAGAATATTTTGAGTTCAATAAGAATAATTTTATGGCCGCCTGACAGTCTAAATGGTACTTCTTTATTACGATCACCAGGAAATAATAAGAATATGAGACATAAACTTGAGTCACATAGGTGCTTATTAGACAATGTTATGTCAATATCGTCTCGGATTGTGCCACTCTAATCCTACATTTGCCCAGTGGGATTTTCGTTCTCAATAAATTTTCGCAGCCCTTCTCAACTACATGTTAGATAGTTTAGATATCTCAAAAAATGATTTTGGATATATTGTCGAACATTTTTAATTAGATCACTACTTGTTTTACTGCAGAGAATGCTTTTAATCTTTGTTTGGCTAGTTCATCCGTATTATAGTTTCTTTGTAATGCTCGGTGCCCTAGAACCAAATTATTGAAGTAATACAAAATAGAATTACAATAAGCGTTAAGCAATAATTTCTTTTTAGGCAAGCCATCCTAATCTAATATTTGCATTCTATTTATTATCCTATGAATTCTATCCTATGGATTCATTACAGGTCTTTACACAACATTACAGGTCTTTAGACGTTGCGTATTTGATTCCTGAAACAAGTGAATAATGTGTAATCTAGACCGTGTGCGAGTTCGTGGAAATTAAGATAAAGTAAATTGAAATTTCTTAGGGATTTTTGGCACTGTAAAGATATATTTATTTATTTATTGCACTTATTTATTATTTTTGGTTAAAAGTTTTCAAATTTATTTATTTATTCATTAAACATCTCTTACAATTTTCACCTAATTTACCTAATTTTTTTTTTAATAATTATTATAATTAATAATCATAAAAATTATTATTATTAATAATCATAATAATTATTATAATTAATAACCATAATAATTATTATAATTAATAATCATAAAAATTATTAATATTAATAATCATAATGATTATTATAATTAATAATCATTATAATTATTATAATTAATAATCATAAAAATTATTATAATTAATAAACATAATAATTATTATAATTAATAATCATCATAATTATTATAATTAATAAACATAATAATTATTATAAAATTATGAAACACATATTATATTTATATATGATCTAATATTTTCGCTATTTTATTATATTGAATGTACACATTGAAATGCATTTAGGTTAATAATTACAGAAATATGTAGAACTTATAAAAAATTATTTATTACATTTTTTTAAGAAATTAATAAATTATATATCACACGCACCTTTGAAGATTCTACATCCATTTTACAAAACTTGAATAAATTTTTACGCACTGAGTAATTTTTTTTTTTTTGTTGTTTTGTTGTTCTACAAAATTTCGTAAATATTTTTATTTGTTGTTTTTTCTGCAGTTATTCAAGTTTTTATTTTTATAATTTTTTATGTAAGAAAAGAGATTTATTTTACGCTTAACTCTTCGTTCAATTAATTAGTGAAGTATTTTACTTTCATGTAAAAGTAGTAAAAATATTTTTTAATTATATATTTATATGTATTTTTGCATTTCTTCCACTTTCATTTATTTGAACATTGTTACACTTTTTACATAACGACCTGTTGCATGTTTGTCGTTTGGCGAAATCTTGAAGACTGAACGTTCCGTTGGATTGTTCAGACTGCGCTGAAATTGTTTAGCCGGATTATGTACCGCATTTCGTTCTGAATGCGTTGCGAGCGTTTTGATCTCGGCACCGTGTTCCACTAACGACACCACACAATTGTCTCGTGTGTTTTTTATATACATATATTTTGCTTCATATGTTTCTTATCTACTTAAATATTTATTGTTTTTTTAACGTATTCACGTTTTGTTCCAATAATGAAACGACTTCTAATGCTTTTGAAAACAGGTTTCTAAAGTTCTAACGACAGTTGTGAGTGCCAATACACAACGAAAACAAAAAAACTGAAATTAACAACAAACATTCTCATTAACGTTGTTACACACATCTTAACAAATAATCTTATATAGCATAACATCATCAATTTCCAAGAGGGTATTAATTTCATAAACACCTTAGCAGAATTATGTCATAAAGAGAAATATACTTGAAAAATGTCTCTTTAAAAGATAATAATTTAAGATGCTTACTTTTAATGACAAACAAATGTTCTTGATTTTTTAATTGTAACCAAAGATAAAAAATTTATTATCTTTGTAACTGATAAGAAATCCACATGTGCTTCAAAGCTATATAAACACTGTTTCAAATCAAAAAACAGTGATTTCCAAATATTTAACGAAAATAGTTCATATAAAATAAATGTCTGTATTAGCATGAGAGTCCTTAACAGTGTTCTTTACAGTAATAAAGTCAGGTATTTTATTTTTTTTTGTTTTTGTTTGCAGTAGGTGAAAAGTAATATAAAAACTACTAAAACCACATCTTAGAAATAATAGTAAAAGATTGCAGCCGCGTTCAGTGGATGCAACCTCATTCCAGTAATCAGAGGGAGAAGGTAAACGAAGCTTAGTATTAGTATTTGTAGTTACAAATTTATCTAAGCTAATGGAGAGGACGTAGTGAGCGTTAACTAATGAGAAATGATGGGTAAGATAGAGACTGAGACTACTTAAGAGTATACTCTGTGGAGTGGTTTACGATATCCGCGATTATACAGCGGATTGAAGTGGAGGGAACAAGTCATCCCGTCGAAATAGAGAGCAAGGGATAAGGGAGGCTTGTGGAATAGAGTGATAAGTTCTTGTTAGTGTATATTATTACTAATAGTGGATAAAGTAGCTAAGTTTTTAGTAATAGGCGTGCTTTTAGTAATTTAACTGGTTGATAAATTCTTGTTTTCTCATACATATTGTATTATGTTGAGGCTAGTTAAGTCAGTGCACATAAGTATTTTTATTTTGTATGAACTGCGAGGTTTCTTCCTAATCCCTCTCTAAGCCATTACTGAATTATTGTTTATCACTTCATCAAACTAAAAAATATTTAACCTCAGATCTGCATATATTTCCGAGAAACCTGTAACCATTCTGAGATTCGATAACGCGGTGTTGCTAAGCCTGTCAGTTTTCGTAAATAATTCCAGGGTTCTAATCTTTATGTATTTCTTCATTGGATCCCTGATGATATCATTGGTCCTAATGTACCATGACACCTTGAAAAGTGTTCTCAGAGCCTGCCTTTCTGCAAATTCTAGCTGGCGAATAGTAGTGTTTGAGGCCTTGCTGGATACTACACATACATATGTGACGGTCGAATTATTTGATTATATATCAGCTTCCTGTTCTTAGGATTTATTTCATTTTTGTATAGCGATTGGAGGTGATGAAGAGTTTTGGCACAGCTAATTCTTTTCAGTTGAACATTTTTAAGTCATGTATATGTATGTAGAAGCTTTGATATAATATTTAAAACAGTTATGGTTCTTGTGGTAAATTGTTTACGATAAAGAAGACTATAATCTGTGAATGGTTATGTTTCTAATTCGAAAAGTCCATTTAAATTTACTGAAATCGCTATGGTTATATGCTTTCTTAGATTTTCATTAACTATATATAAGAAACTGAAGGAGATTTTCAGTTTTATCTGTTGAAGAGTATATGCTTTTCGTATAATCTGTTACGTCCTTAACAACTTTTATTAACTTAATGTTTTGTATATTTATTATTATAAGCGTGATTTTTAATTTTAAAAAATATAACAAGATCTTATTAATTTTTATTTATATATATACATGTAATCATTTAATTCTATCCTAAACTAAAGTCGTACATCGCAGTTAAAAATTTCCCAGAAAGATAAAGTTTAGTTATGCATGACAAACTAATTACAAAGGCGTGCTCTTACCAATTATCTTCACAAAAACAATAAAAAAAAATAAGTATAATAATTTTTATTTAGTTTTACAAATGAGTTGAAACAGAAACTAAAACGATAACATTTCCTTACCTTTTCCAGCTAAGATGAGCTATAAAGTATTATTGAGCAAATACATTAAAGAAGAAGAAGAAGAAAGTAATTTAACAATAATTACAAGTTGAACTTGCAAGAAGTACAAGTACAACCAACGATATAGCTGTGAATCCCATAAAACTTTAGTAAGAAAAATCACGTTATATAAAATAATAAACAAATATGACATTTATATAAACAAAGTCAAAATAATTAATTCATTCATAAACGAAACATTAAGCAAAATGCGAAGAAACCTTTCATGAATTTATCAAAACAAAACTTTTACTTACAAATTTCACATGAAACACGAATAAAAGTTAGCTTTGGCTGCACAATAGCTGTGACACCCTTCACACAGTTTGTTAGAGTGCAAAGCAATTATTTATTATCTACATAAGCTGTAATTTTTCTTCTTTCAGAGTTGTAAAAAAACAGCATTAAGTCTGGTTGAAACCAATGGGTATCACTTTTAAAATACGTTAAATGATTTTTTTTTACATATGTTTTTTGTTGTGTTGTGTATAATATGAATTATATATATATTAAATTATATAAAAATTAATCTATTTAAATAAAAGAAAACAAAATGAATATTAGAAAAGCATCTTATATATTTTATTTAATTTATTTATATGTACATATTTAAATTTATTAGTAAATGTAATACTCATATGATTTTAACGGATAACTGGAATTATGAAACATATTTCCAGTGAACATTCACAATAGACTGATTTTTGAATTTGACTGCACTGAAACTTAAGACGTGAAATTTTTTGTGAGTAAAACCGAACTCTGAAGTTTTTAAGAGCATTGTTGTTGCTTCACATGTTTCTTTCGTAAGTTGCGAGTACTTTTTTGCTACACTGAAAGAAAAAATTAAGGCATAGACATATTTTTGACTTATATTTTAATATATTTATATGGATTCACAAAAACTACTGTAGGAATTATATTCCATTGCCTCAAAAACCGAGAATTTAGTTTTTATATTAACATACACATAATCGATAGGTGAACTAAGATATATCGCTCGAAATAGGCAAAATTGGAAAATTTTTGTACAAACTCTTTGTGAATAGGCTAATTTTATACAATCACATATTGTACAGAACATGACAGCATCCTTCAAGAGTGAGCGTTTGTGACACGGAGATACGGTGGGAGGACAACATAAATTATCTGGGGATCACTTTTAACAAACGGTTCAATTAGTTTAAACATTTGAAATACAGAATACGGAATAGCTGCTCTAAGATTCTACATTTATTAAAGGCTATTAATAATTACCAACTATGTGATTTCAAGTCCGTCATCAACTAAAAGACAAATAAATGATATGATTTCTTAGCCTAGTTAAACTAGTGTGGGGTAGAGATAAGCCCCACAGCCATTTAGAGTAAAAGTGCGTAATAGCACTAACTAAGAAGAAGAATCAAGAATCAAGAATCAAGAAAATAATAATAAGCATACACATAGATAGATAGACATCATCAAATCGATTCGTCTTGTGTTATTAATCAAGAATACTATATAACATATAGAGTTTGGATATAGCATACCACTTCTTCTTCATATGTTACAAACATTTCGATAAACTTAATATACCTATTCCAAAAAATGTATATAAAGGGTATGAAAAATGTACATAAAATGAGCTTGCAACTTGCAGCATGAAGCATAACACAAGCCACATGCCACATTTATATATTGCAATTTAAATAAGTTATTATTATATGTATGCTTTTATTTTCATTGAAAGTAAGTCAATGGATCATCGAATTTAAATAATCTGATATATATTTATAATTTTATATTAAACAAAGTCATCAAAATGCACGCGATCGGAGACTTTTTGATTAGATGGCTTTTTGATACAATGAAGTTAAATTAAGTGGGAGTTTATTAAAAGACAACTAACGTACATTTATCTTTTACCGATTTTAATAATATTGTTTAATAATAATCGAACGATCATTATTATTGTTGGATGATATGAACGTTCAAGCAATCGAAAACATATTGTGAAAGAAAGAAATTATTTAGATTCATGTCAAATTTCTAAATTAGTAGTCACACGCCGCAAGGACATCTATAGAATGAAGATTCAAGAAGAGCTTTCACTTGGACAATCTCGTATATTTTGATGCTAATCTTGAGCTATAAAATGCCTCCTGCCAAAAAGTCAGTTGGATCAGGTTGTACCAATATATAAGACCAATATATAAGAGACAAATATGGAACATTGTCTCTCAGCCTTTCTTAGTTTAGAGTGGAGACGCTATATCTGATTGAATCTTCCAATTTTTTGTCTACAGTTTAAACGTTTTGTAACACTGTCCATTTAATTATAATGTGCTATAGTTTGGGCCTGAAAAGAATCAATTTAAAGATTATTGTTCTTTATTATAATCTTATTATAATATTATTGTAATATATAATCTTATTACTATCTTTATTTATTAATTTAAGGTTTGATTGAATGCAATTCTAGAAGATTTAGAAAAACCACATCCTTCTGGTGGAATTCATAAGAATCTCATTATTTCACTGGCAAAGAACAATGAAGATAAATCACCAGAACACAGAATCATTTAAGGAGCGGTCATTATTATTGCTGTTGTCGATAGACGACGATATCAACCTTAAAAAAATGTTAATTTTTTAAGTCAAATATGGTGCGTCTTATGACGAAAATAAACTATTTATGAATTAAGTATTCGAACAGTAATGAAGCAACAACAACAAAAATTTTTTATTTAATTTATTGAAATTTGACTGACCATACAACGTTGCTTCGAGTATTGTCAAATATCTTAGGATACACTCGTATTTTTATTTCATTAGTTTATAGTACGTTTATAATTTGTTGGACTGTAAGTACCAGACTTAGTACTCGTGCCTGTCAAATTAGAAACGATGGCAAATCGTCTTATACCACAACTAGTCAAGGCTGCACAAATGTTTAATGCTCAAGTTCCAAGTTTTTTGTCACTTTTTTGATGAGGTTCTATATGACCTAAAGATGAGACATAGCAGTTGAAGGTTTTAGCAATGAGATGTAAGTAGTCTATCGCAAATTGCTAAGTTGAGCATAATGACAATAGTTGTATGAAATATCTTGTTTAAATAATTAATCTTATTTAATAAAAATTGTACTAGCCAACAATCGTACCGAGTAGAAGATATTTCTTGCGGACCTATGCTGTTCCTAGGAGTCAAAGGTATAAAAATTATCATTTATCTTTAACGATTTATATAAATATAATAATTTTAAGAAGATTTATAATTACTTTATCTAGAGTGATTTAGTATTCTGTTTATATGCTATTTATTTTTACTACGAAAAAACATTTGAACGAAATATATATGGAGTTCAAAGATGATCTCTACTTGCATTATTTTATTATTAAAAAACAAACTATGTTTTTTTAGTAAAAGTGGAGCAATGAGTTTTCATAACTTCTAACACTCTTAGTTTCTTTAGATAAAACCAGTTCCAGTAAGAAAAATTTTTTCAATTAAATAATTGCTTATCTGCCATAAAACTCCATCTAATATTATAACATTTAACACAGAATCTGAATGAGACAAGTTCGAGCAACTGTTTTTCATACATAATGTCCGTTGCTCCACATTAGCAACTTTTCACCTCAAAAAAATGAACTGGAAGTAACCAAGCAAATCTTACGTTAAGATGGAGATGCTTAAGCAGAAACATTAACAATTTCAACTGACCAAGTTAATACGAGCCAAGCTTCAACGGATAAGCAGAGCCATGTGTGATGATTGGATTTGCAATTCACATTCGCTTGCACTTCAGTTGAACAACAGAAGTCGAAGCGTGTGGGTCGAGTAATGTACTGGTAATGAAAAATTATGGCAGGTTTACTATTGAAGTGAAAAGCGCCTTACATGACTAACGTAGTGCTACATTCGAGAGGCTTCCGTGGCCAATAAGTCGAAAAGTACAAGTAAAAGTTTTATTTTTACATATTTATTATTATTCGCAAACGTTTTCGTAGAACCTATGATTAGATCAACAATTCGTAACGCTTCGATTAATATCGGTAAAGATGATATTTAGTGACATCTGCACTGGAACGTTAAAATTCAAATTATGAAATCTCAAAGTACTCATACGCGACTGTATGGAAAGTTTCACTTTGGTAAAAGTACGTTTCATTTATGTCGAAGACGTTAACGAGACTGGTTGTGTATAAGCGCGAGTGTGAAATTAAAATTATTCATAAGGAAGTAAAACAACCGGATGTGTAATATCCTTTTGGGATAGTTGCATATAGAACAAACATACAAATACTGCCTCAAAATGCTGACATTTTTCATAGTAACAAAACTGTTACTATTAAAAATTTTATTGGCCAGTATATCTGGTCTGAGTGGATATGAGTATGGGTATCATCCAAGTGCAGAAGAATTCGATCAGTTCTTACGTGAAACGAGCAAAACTTGGACCAGAGATTTGCTTGCAAATCAAAGACGTAGTTCGTGGACGCAAACGTATCCGAAACGCAATGACGCAGGTGATTTTGTGCCAAAATATAATTATAAAAATTTTAATAATTTAAATACGCTAAATAAATGGACAGAATATGTGCAGAAAGTAACGAAACCAACATCACATAATCGTAATGAATTTCCTGATCAAGAAAGTGCATCAAGTATATTACATGCTGGAAACAGCATAGGTTCCACTTTAGATTTTACTATGTTCAGTGATGAAAACAATGATCCAACAGCAACAGAAATATATAAAGTGCAAAATCCTAAACCAATGCAACAGCATTTAAGTGAAAGTGTTGAATTTGTAACGAATAACAGACCTTCTGTGGGAAGTATTGCGTCCACGAGACCAAATTTTTTTAACAATCAAATTAAACAAACTCATGGTGACATAGTAAATATTGAAGATTCTACTGAAAGTAGTAAAATTGTGAATACTGAAAATAATTTATCACTCATTAATGCCTATCAAAATAATAGTGAAGCACAGTTTCCCATATTCTTTACAAATCCTGCCACTGGCATTGTCTATGCTATAACCGAAATCGGCAAAATGCAAAATAATAATACTACCTCAAATGAAAGTATACCCATTTATATAACAAAAGAACAATATGACCGTGATATGTATTTGCTTAGAAGACATTATGAATACAATTGCCAGAGTAATGGTTTGAGCACTGAAAATAAATTCCTAACACCTACCACTATAACCTCTGTGTTATCAGCCTCACCAAATACAACTGGTCGACCACATATTATCAGATTACAAAAACCGTCAAATTCTGTAACGAAATTATTTACTGAAAAGTTTCCAAGTGAAATTAATAAACCACCACCTGTGATGGTGCAAACTGAATTAACCGTGAATGATCATGTCAATAGACCACCGAAAACAAAAAACAAGCCCTCCACTAAAAAAAAGAAACGCAAAAAAATTAAACGTCCAATTAGAAAACCAACTGCGAACACTGCTTTTAAGAAATCACAGTTACATACCGTTACAAAATCTACAATTCCAAAAATTGTAATAGGCACCCGCACAACAACAATAAAACCCTCAACTAATACTAATCGTTTATCAACACAGTTAGAAAAACCAAACATTCCTACCAGAATTTTCAATAAAACTTCAAGCGTCTCTACTAAAAAGGTCCCGAGAAGTACTAAACGAAATATAGATGACATTCCTACGATAATTCAATCAAAAAACAAAAGACGAAAACGATCCTTAACAAAAATAAATGGTCTAACTAGTCAAGTTGATAATGCTAGAAAGACGTCTAACAGAACTCATACACATACTGTTTGGCCAACCACAGAATCAAATATAATTGCCAAACAGAATCCTACAAGAATTGTGCGTCAAAATAAGTACAACCCCAAAACACCACGTAAGCGAAAGACTTCAAAACGAAACAAAGTAAAGAACACCAGGCAAACGGACATACCAAAGCGAAATCAGACTAAACTTTTAGTATTGACTGCTTTAAGTAGGCATAATTCGACACAAGAAACAGAAACACATAATACAGGAACATACCTATTTTCTAATTCGCTTAGTAATAGTACAGATAAAAAAGGCACCCCAAAACAATTCCATGCAACGCAAGAAAACGAGTCTTTGGGAAATAAAACTGTCATTAAAGGTGCGACATCATTGGGAAACCTGTCAAACTCTCAGAAAAAAAAACGTAAGAAGAAAAAGCGAAAAGAAGAACGTGGTGACTCAGGTTTCAATATATTCGATCTAATCAGTGATGAAGATGATGATTATTATGACGATGACGATGATGATGCATCTTACTATGAGAATGATGACGACGATATACCCACAAGACGCAAACCTCCCAAACGAAATAAAATAAAAACTGAAGTAAGTACAGAACAAACCGAATCATTTGAAAATTCTACTGCCGATGATTTAAAGGAAGAATCAACGCAACAAAATAGTAGCTCCGCAGAAGCTGGCGCTGACTATGGTGCTATGGAGGAAGATACTAATCTGCACGTTGACTACAATAACAGTGAAGAGACATTCGATAACAGCGACCGCTTAAAAACTTCAAGTAGTAAAAAGCGCATACGTCGTAGACCACAAAATTCATTTGAAGATGATTATGACAATGATTATTCTGAAGAAAATGATGATAATGAAGGCGGCGTTGGTGGCTTTTTTCGCATGATTTTCTATCCAGTACAAGTTGTAATGTCGAAATTAATTGATGGTAACAATAGAGGTAGTAACGAAGATGATGATGACGATGATGATGAAATTAAAACTAAATATCCCACATATACATTGTATAATAATGCTATAACACATGATGAGAGTGAAGAGACTGAAGATAATGAAAAAAATTCTTGGAGTGATTGGTTTAGTTCTTGGTTTGGCTTCAATCGTCAAACAAAGAAAATAGATGATGTTCCAATAGCAACTGGAAATTCAGAGAGTCCAGCAAAAACACAAAATAAACAAAAGGAGCCAAGTTGGTTTGATTTACTATTCGGTTATGGCGGTACGACGGATGGATCTAAAGAGGAAGAAAATGATTATGATAGTAAGTGATAAACAGATTCAGTAGTGTGATCTATAAAATATATTATTTTTTAATGCATGTCTCCTTATTATATCTCTGGTTTACAATGTGTATATTAATTCTTTAATAATATCTATATTATACACTTGATTAGTTACACTACACCTTAAACTAGTTTTAATAATGTCATTTGTTTTTTTATTATTAAATAAACTATATTTTTACTATTAAACTTGTTTATTCTTTTACAAAAAAAAATTATTTTTTATGTGTTGACCACTGAAATTAAACGGAACGAATAGATTGCATGCCTAGAAAAATAAATGGCTCTTATTGAAGACATTCAAAGGAAATAAGATTTTTTTACAATGTAAAAAATATAATAAAAGATAATGCATACGGAAGTAACTTGTTATTAGTGAGTTATAAAAATAATCACATAAGACAAGAGGAAATATGATGGTTATCATTATCGTAGGTACAATTATTATTCCACTTTCTGTTTTTTGAAATATTTGTAATTAAAAAATCAAGATTTAAGATGATTATTTATTTATGATAAAAGATGGTACTTCAGAAGTAACATATCAGTTATTATTATATTTTTTTTTCTTTTGGTAAATCAGAAGTTAAGCATACAACCGTGATTCTTAGCAGATCTTATTCCAATAATATTTTGTGACTCTTCTTCACCATAGCCTTATGGATTTCATCTAAACAAATATAGGTCAGAATTTTCAATCCATCTGCAATGGATTGTACACTATATTTCAAATGGAGTCCATAATTGATTGGGTGCGTTTTAAAGTTCCATATAAATTATATGAATTGATCACTACATGTTTTCTAATTTGTAAAAATTATAATATAATATTATAAAAATTATCACTTTATTCGCTTAGCAAATGGGTTAGCAACCTTCACTACTTAAATCCCCTATGAAGCACAGATTTAACATTATTCTTTATTAGTTTAAGTGAGCATACGTCGGGATCACGATATAATATTACTCGTACCCACATTGATATTATTAATTGTATTAGTCTTAGTGAAAATAAGTGATTATAATATTAAAAATATATAGGTACTAAGAGCTCTATGACAACGCATGGCAAAACTTGATGAGTTGTAGTGATGAAGGAAGGTTATGCATCATTAGTTTTTAATGGACATGAATTATATAAAATGATATAAAATCATTCATTTAAGGTATTTAGTAAACATGATTTTGATTGCCGTTTGATATATATATATATTTTACTCAGAAATGGTTATAAAGTTAAATAGGTGATCTTTTTTTTTAAATACACATAACCTGTATGTATTTTAAAATGATTTGAGTTGTTGATTACTAATTGATCACCCAATATGCTTTATTATTACAATTAATACAGCTTTGTTTTTTTCCTTAGATGAAGAGGTTCGAAAAGTAGTGAACTACAAAAAAAAAAATATATTTTATAGTATTTTAATTAATGAAATTTTTGGCTGATCATACAGCTGTTTCGAGTATTCCCAAATACTCATCATCAGTGGTCTTAGAAATATTTCTTGCATTTAATTATTCATAAACAATTTTTTGAGACTGCAAGTACCAGGAATAGAACTCGTGCTCTGCCAAATTTGAAACTCAGAGTCAGCGTTCATTAGTCAACTGACCCAAAGCTGTACTTGACTTGTAAGTTCGCACTTTTTTCCGGAGTTTTGTTGATTTGCTGTGAAAGTTTATTAACAAATTGACTAGCTGTGTTATATTAGAATGAAATCATAAATCAGCTGCCGAGTAATGGAATTAATTATATTTATTTTTTCATTAATAAATATTTAAGGTAAAATAAAATCTATTTATATATATCTCAAAGGTACATTATTCTAAAGTTTGGAATTGGATTAGTTGGGCGAAAGGCTGCACAAAAGAACTTCCAGGTCACAGTGCATGCACAGTCTATCTACAATAAGAATATTTCAAAGGTCCATTTCATTACTTTTTCTTATTACGTACTCAAACTATACTTCAGAGCTTTACCTATTCTGTTTTACAATACCTATATCCGGAGATGTTTTGTATTGATTATAACTATTATAGGTTTGTCTTTAATTTGAAATTCAAGTATCTTTATTATTTATTTGAAAAAAGGTCCATTTCATTACTTTTTCTTATTACGTACTCAAACTATACTTCAGAGCTTTACCTATTCTGTTTTACAATACCTATATCCGGAGATGTTTTGTATTGATTATAACTATTATAGGTTTGTCTTTAATTTGAAATTCAAGTATCTTTTTTATTTATTTGAAAAAATTACACATAAATTAAAATTTCAATTTAAATTAAATATGACCTTTGTATATCTGCACTAATTAACTTTTAGATTGTTACACTTATAAACGGTGTAAACCCAAATTTAAAATTTTTTTTTTAAATTTCATACTCACCTGTCGAACTGTGAAAACCCTAAAATTTGTTCTTCACCTCTTAGTTACTTTAATATAAATAATTGCAAATTTGTTACGCTTTCTTTAACATCTCCCAAACACTCTTAAAATGTTGACCTTAATTTTCACAATTTGTAATTTGTAGAAGCAATTTGTTTTGCTTTTATCTAAACTAAGTTTATTTTGGCAATTGCAGAATGGTTCTCAAGTTGGTTTGAATCAAAACCGAAAACAAGTCGACGCAAGAAAGCCACTACGACAACCACAACTACAGCATCAACACCACAAGTGCCTATTTTAACAATTGTGGATCCTCTAAAAAATCCACAAAATTGGATAGGAATTTTGGCACATCACATTATCAATTCAACATCTACTACAACACAAAATCCAATCTTTCAAGCAATCACCCGGGCTACTAGAACCACAACGACAACAACAGAAAATCCCGATTTGCCTACACGTATCAACTATGATAAATATCAAATTTGGCGTCTTAAGCCACAAGACGAAATACAAGAGAAGGCTTTGGAAGATTTGAAAAGAAGCGAGGATGGTATTAAATTACAATGGCTTAAGGGTCCTAGTCTAAGGTTAATACTTTTCATATTTTAATTAGTACATTATAATTATTATTATTTTATTTTTCATTTATTATTTATTATTTTCACTTGTCCAGAGGTCTTACTGATGTATTGGTGCCCCCAAAAATGCTTATCGATTTTCAAGGTACTCTAAATTTTGAAGGTGTAGCGCATGAGGTGCTTATATTTGATGTTGGGAAAGCAATTGCTTATGAAAAATCTAGAGAACAATTTGTTATTGCAACAACTAAGCGACCAAAGAAACAACAAACAAAAGTACAGCCTATCACAATGTCATGGAACAAATATCACGGGTACGATGACATTGTAAAATATCTAGAAATTTTACGCATGCGTTACCCGCAATTAGTTGAACTGATACATATAGGACGCTCATATGAGGGCAGACCTTTGATAGTCGTTAAAATAGAATCCAAAGACACAACAACAACAACAACAAATTTAGACAGTGAAGAATATGGCAACAACCATGCGGAGGTCAAACGAAAGAAACTACGTTTAAAAGAGAAATCAGGTGAAGCAAATGCTGTATTTATTGAGGCTGGCATACATGGTTTAGAATGGATAGCACCAGCGACAGCGTTATGGATGATCAGCGAGGTGTTACGCATCATGAAGAACAACAGTGAGTATTTACAGTAATGCAGTCTTGAAATATAATTAGTAAAAGCGTAAGTAGAATTATTTATATAAAATGAAAAAACATGTGCCTTTAGTTTATAGTAAATTGTATGAAATACTACATATTTGTAATATTTATAATTATCATCAAGAAATTTCACTAATGGAAAACCATTCTAAAATAAAAATTTCTCAGTTTTATATCATCATGGATTTAACAGTATTTATGGTATAATATAAAGTAGCATTTATATTTAACAAAATATACAACCCTTCTTAAGCTATATAGCCGTATATATAATTGCTATAAAACTTTACTTATCTAAAGTAAGTTTAGTTGGATTAGTGATATTATTAATCGATTCATGATATTATTTTCAAAAATTAAATTAATTGAGGGTCTATCTGAGGGTCTATTTACCTACACTTTGAATAAAACCTAAGTAGTTTTATAATTTTACTTAGAAAATATAATCATAGACAAGTAAACACCGATTCGCTTAAATAAGCTACAAATAGAAAATATTTTTTCATCTCATTCATAAGACATGCAAGAATTAATAAGTGTGATTTTCCTGCAGGAATAACTTCAATACTTATCATATTCTATCAGTAACCTAATATAAAAAATCTATTTTTCTGATTAAAACCATGAAAAGTTAGAATGACTACCTTTTATAAAGGTACAATATATGCAATTTGTTATTAAAGTTTTAACTATCATTGAAGTCAGTTCTTCAGATGTTTCTAGTGTTCTCATATATGCACTGCGTATGCAATTTTTGCGCTTTACAAAAATATCTCCATACTCGTATCCCAGATATCGAAGAGAAATATTGAACTGCGTCGATTTCTTGTATAGATATCAGGGAGAGTTTCTTCTTAGTATCCGTTTCACCTAGTGGGGCATAAGACCGCCAGGGAGAGCTTAGCACTGTTTTATATATAAATCGATGTGTACTAAGGGTTTTATAGTAACTTAACTGCTAAAAACAACATGTTCTTATTAACTTATAGGAATTATTTTAAAATCAATTTTAAATATGTGAATACTTGATATCATGTGTATCTGTGTTGCAGAAAACATTATAGGTACCATAGTCGCTATATTTCCATTCTGTTGGGACTATTAAATTAAAAATATTTATCTGGTTGTCTTCAGAATTTTAAAGTCGTAGTTTTCTGTTTCAGAAGTACAATAGAATCTGTACAGTTTTTATGCAGTCTATAATGAGTTCTGTTTTGAAATATATAATCAAACAGAAAATAAATTTTTTAGAATTTTTTGCGAATGAAAGTTTATTTAGACAAACTTTTATTTTAATATATATGGAAATACTTTTTAATTTCGTAAATGCCAAGATTCGTAAAGCTGCAAATTTGCGACACATCTTTTTCTGCCTACACATCTGTTAGTGGTTTATTTATTGTAGAACACAATTCCGGTATTATTTTTGTCGGTGAAACTTGTGTTCTATCCCAACAACAATATGATTTCTTTAATATTCTTCACAAACCAATATTATGCATTATCGAAAAAAGAGTTTGACCCGATCAAACGATATTTTATTTAACTGAAAAATCTTCATATACATAATCTCTATCTCTATCTAATCTTCATGTCCAATAATTAGATCAGATCTAAGACATTTTGATTTCTTCAAATAAGAATTCGGTCTACTGAAAACTGTTCATGTGCGTCTTCTGCCCAGTATGAAGAGTCCAATTAATGAATTTAATATTTTATTCGAACAGCATTTCAGGTTATTAAAAATTCTATATATACATAAATAGTCCATTTTGGAGATTCAGTAGTTTTCATATTTTCCGAACCGTATTTCAGTCTAGTAAAAAGTCTGAACTGAAATTCTTATGAAATTCTGAATTCAAAATGCATCCATTTTGGAGGAGACATAATCAAAACATTATACTTTATTTGCGAAATATCTCAGTCTAGAAAAAATTTAATATATACAAGGTGTTTCAAGAGATTGGTGGGAGCAGATTTCGTTGTATTTAAACAATATTTCAGTTTACTGAAAAATCTCCATATACAAAATCTCTCAATGCTGAAACAGATTGAGAAGGTTTTGTTTTCTTCAAATAATGTTTCAGTCTACTGAAAACTGTCCATGTACATATTCTGTCCATTATGAAGAATCCAGTTAGTGAATATTTTATTTTATTCGATCAGCATTGTAGACTATTAAAAATTCTATATATACATATTTAGTTCATTTTGGAGAGGCTAGATAAAGAAGGTTTTATATTATTCAACAGATTATATATTTTGGAGTCCAGATTCAGAAGGTTTTATATTATCCAAACAGCAGTTCAGTGCATTGAAAATTCTATATGTGCGTAATTATCTAAGTCTGCAAGGGCCAGAATCGCGAGATTTTGTATTATTCGAACCACATCTCAGTCTACTGAAAAATTTGTTTTTGCATGGTTTCTCCAGTTGGGGAGGGCTGGATTCGAAAGTTTTTGCTTTATTTGAGCAACATTTCATTTTATTGAGTATTCTATATCCACATAATTTTTCCATTTTGGAGGAACTAGTTAGAGGAGATTTTATTTTATTCGAACAACATTTTAGTCTGCTGAAAATTGGCCATGTGCATAATCTGTCCATTATTGAGAAACGGGCCGAAGCTTTACTTGTTTTAGTTTGCTTGTAGCGTAATACATAACAAGTCGTCAACGTACATATGATAATAAAAATAATTATACTAGCTATTTCAATAGCTAAAAGACGGTTTTTCCTAAACAAAAAAAAAAACAATGTGATACATTATAATTTCGTTCTTATAATTCGAAACTTACTTGCTCCACTCGTATAACTTTTTACCGATGCATATCCCGTACCCGATTATAGTGCCCCAGAAACATAATACGGTAATATAATAATACAATTACAACTAATCTGAAAATAGTCAATTTTTTATTTCAATAAAATGAAAGTCATAGTAAGATGTTATGGACTACTTACGAAACACGACCCAAAATTTCTACAATCACATTTAGAAATTGTATTCGTGTTGCACATTTATTTCGAGCCTCGGAATCTGCTTTGCCTCTACAACATGGGCATTGAGCTCTTTCTTTAGCTGCATCCCGTTTTAATTTACATATTTTACAGGCACAAGGCTCCCGTAAACACGGCTTCCGAGGCGCATCATTCTCATGCACACAGCATGGCAGCATTCCAACGAATAAATTTTGAATTTAGAATTGAAAAAATATTTAAGGCATAATAAGTTTGTTAAATTAATTGTTTTTAACAAATATTAATATAAAAAAAGCTTACTAAAAGTAAAAGTAAAAGCTTACTAAGAGTTTTGTTCTATTTTCAGACAATACCAAATCGGACTTTGTTAAACAAACAACTTGGTATATAATGCCACTTTTAAATCCCGATGGTTATGTTTATAGTCATGAATATGATCGCTTTTGGAAAAAGTCACGTTCTCGACATGTAACACGTCCAAGTGGTATCATAAATTCGGCTATGACATGGTTGCAACAGAAAAGGGTAACAGAAAAAATTTGTTACGGGGTAGATTTGGACAGGAATTGGCATTATCAATGGGGCAAGCGAGGTAGCGCAAAATCTCCATGCAATGAATTTTATGCTGGACCCAGAGCATTTTCTGAACCGGAAACAAAATCATTATCAGATTTTCTAATGGATAATAGAAGACAAATTAAGGTTTTTATAATATTATTTTTAAAAAATATAAATTCTTTAAGAAAAATTTTTATCTTATCTTTTAAAGCTTTACGTATCCATGCAAGCCTACGGTCAAATAATTTCATTTCCTATAAAAGCGAACGTATCTTACAATTCCAATATTATGGATGACCTAAACGATGTAGCTATGGTTGGTATGGATGGCTTGCGTAAGAAAGGCAGTAAAACGCGCTATAAAATTGATTCTGCAAGAGATTTAGTTGAGCATCGCACAGGTTAGTGTAGAATTAAATTACTTTAGTTTCTATTAGCCTATTAAACCTCTATTAGTTAAATCACTACAGTGATTTCAGAAAGTTTGAACAACATCAGAATATACATCCACACTATATTGTTTAAGGAATAAAATCCAAATACTAGATTTAAATAATTTAGATATTTAAAGAACAACTCAAACATCAAATCCTTTTGATTTGTGTTTTGTAAAAAGATCGTAACACTAAAGAAAGTTTGGTTATTAAATTTTATGAAATTATACATTCATTAGTAACCTTTATGTAGGAAACTATGTGTATCAATAGTAGGTAGGTAATACCGGCGATCTCAAGGTATCCACTTAGGCCTATAGGCCCATTGTGTTATCGTATAATTAAAAGCTCAAAGGTTAGAACCACTAAGAACCTTTGGCATAGCTTATAATGCTATTCAGGGGAAAGACACGTAGTTCACCAAGGTCCTCAAAGAAAAAAGCACCTAAAGTGATAAGTTACCGCCGCGCAGGTGCTGGACAGAAACAGAGCAGATGGGAGGTACTTTTATCGTCCTCTTCACTACTGCGGCAGGTATGATTGAAAGGGAGATTTAGTCTTCTGCTATGGTTACCTTAAATAGAATGACCTGTAAGTAAACTTACTACAAGATTGATATCTCTACGGGGCATCTCAATAAGAGACTTTGATTTCCTAAATCAAATTTTTCACTTAAAATCTAGTTTGTTTAGCAAATAAACAGAAATGCTTTTTATAGATGAAAGAAAACAATCGGGAGACAAAACTCAAAACCAAATCAGAATGAGTCAACTCAGCTATTCTGTTAAAGTTGCTTAAATCATATCTTTGAAATATAAAAATCATTCTAACAATATTTAACTTTTATTAAATACTTTTCACGTTTTCTCATCTTTTCATCTAGAAAAATAATCTATGGTGTGAAATGGAAATCAGATTTAAATTTTATGGCCTCCTTAAATACTTTATGTCTTATTGTTTACAAAATTTATGTTTTTTATCTCGATTATTTTATTAATTTGTCATCAAATCCCTATGAATACAGCTATTATTATTTCAGCCTACGTATATAGCATTTTATATAAAATATTATATACCTAAGCATTATTCGCATATTTTCAGGTTGCTCCGATTCATTTGCAGCCTATGAGGCAGGAATTCCCTTCAGCTATACTTTACAATTAGCAGATAATGGGGTACATGGTTACTTATTGCCAAGTTCATCTATAGCGCAAACTGCTAAGGATGCTTTTGAGATTGTAACAGCCATGCTGGATTATATTTAAATCAAAGAAACTTTACATCACATAGCAAAGACCTGCTAATTATTCCTTGTATATACATGATATTATATTAAGTTATTGTTCTCAATCTAGTTTAACATACGCGTATAATACAATGTTCTTCTATGGCATATATTTATTGTGTAGATTTACGAGTATATTTATTATAATTTTTAAAATAAAATTTGATATGACACAACTATTGAGTTTTGCTTAAGATAATTCTATGCTACATATAGGCAATCATATTGCAATGCAACTTCAATAAAAGAACACATCTACCAAATAATACTTTTTGATTTGTATTATAATTATAAATTGTTCAATTTTATAAAGTCAACTAAGTAACGATACAAGCGTTGTTAACTAAAGCATTAGTTAGGACATTTTTATTAATAAAAGATAAAAAATAATGAAATAATCAAACTATTTGATACGCAAATTGCTTCCCAAAGTGACCGGGTCTGAGTCTTGAAGCCATCTTCTACGACAACAAAACGTCAGTGCGATTGATTTCTGTTTCCAAGAAAATCAAATCAAGTTGATTTCTGCAACTGCAAAATTAATATCTGCAATATTAATCGTTCTAAAATTGGGATTCATCCAGAAGAAAGATGTGTATTATTGGATTATGACAACACTAAGTCAAATTACTGTCCAAAACGTAAGACAGGTTAGATTACTTTTTGGACGATCAGATTTCTTTGTTGTTTAAAATTCACCCGCCACTAAATTCTCAAATACGATTAGGAACAGGGTCTCAAGTAACCAGTAGCAGTCTATAGATATGTATATCTGGTGTTATACTATGTACACTGTCTATCTTATTCTCACATTTTTGAAGTATCCAAAATGAGAAATATTGAACTGCGCCTCTTTTGAAAAAGATATTTACGATACTGTAGCATTGTTCTGGATATAATTTTATTATATATTTATTTTAGTTTTAAATTTCTACTGACTCTAGAGCACAACTGATACGTTTCATGCTTTCAGAAAATGTTAATTTAGCTAAATATTGCACTATAACCATAAGCATATGATATCCATTCTAATAACTTCATGGAATATATTTACTCGTAAAAAACGGTGGTTAAGAAATACAACACATATCTCTATACACCTCATCACCAAATGAAAGATGAATATATCATCAAAATTTAGAAATCCAATTAAACTTTTGTACAATAGCATATATTTTAAATAAACAATTTAATACACTACATATAATACATTTTTTTGATATCCAAGAAATAGAATCTGTATTGTCTGTACCGAAGCTGTTGTCTAAGCCTGAATTTTGATTATAAGATAATTAAAGATTACTTTATTGATTTTTATTATATTTCCAATTGTTTTTCTAATTTGGTGTGTTGGTGCCCAGTGGATTTTCCTGTCCTGTCAATAAATTGTGTAAATACATAATTACTGAGGGTGGTTGCCTAAATTCTGTAGGTATAGCATAAAGTCTAGCTTTTCTAAACATTTCCTTTGCTTGTGCGTCAGTCAACGGCTTCTTCTTTTTCTGTACTTTTTTTGTTCCTCTTGGACAAAATTTACATTTTCTTAATATTTTCCATCTACATAACCTGTCCATTATTGAAGGACGAACATTTTTCGAACAATATTTGAATCTCTTGAAAATTCCATATGAACATAATCTGTCCTTTATGGAAGGACGAACATATTTCGAACAATATTTGAATCTCTTGCAAACTCGGTATGCACATAATCTGTCCTTTATGGAAGGCCGAACTGGTTTTATTTTATTTGGACAATATTTTAATTTATTGATCAATCTGCATGCGCATAATCTGTCCTTTATGGAAGGACGAGCAGATTTCGAACAATATTTGAATCTTTGGCAAACTCCGTATGCACATAATCTGTCCTTCATGGAAGGACGAACATATTTCGAACAATATTTCAAACTATTGAAAATTTTCCATTTACATAATCTCTCCTTTATGGAAGGACGACTCGAACAATATTTCAATCTCTTGCAAACTTCGTATGCACATAATCTGTCCTTTATGGAAGGACGAGCATATTTCGCACAATATTTTAATCTCTTGCAAACTCCGCATGCGCATAATCTCTCCTTTATGGAAGGACGACTGGAACAATATTTCAATTTATTGAAAATCCTGCATTTACATAATCTCTCCTTTATGGAAGGACGACTCGAACAATATTTCAATCTCTTGCAAACTCCGTATGCACATAATCTGTCTTTCATGGAAGACCGAACATATTTCGAACAATATTTCAATCTATTGAAAATTCTCCATTTACATAATCTCTCCTTTATGGAAGGACGACTCGAACAATATTTCAATCTCTTGCAAACTCCGTATGCACATAATCTGTCCTTTATGGAAGGACGATTATATTTCGAACAATATTTCAATCTCTTGCAAATTCCACATCCACATAATCTGTCCTTTAGAGAAGGACGAACATATTTCGAACAATATTTTAATCTATTGAAAATTCTCCAATTACATAATCTCTCCTTTATGGAAGGACGAACTGGTTTTTCTTTATTGGGACCATATTTTAAACTATGAAACATTTTACATGCACATACTCTGTCCTTTATGCATGGTTTAATTTTATTCGGACAATATTTCAATTTATTAATCAATCTGCATGCACATAATCTGTCCTTAATTGAAGGACGAATATATTTCGAACAATATTTTAATCTATTGAAAATCCTCCATTTACATAATCTCTCCTGTATAGAAGGTCGAACTCTATTGGGACCATATTTTAAACTATGAAACATTTTACATGCACATACTCTGTCCTTTATGCATGGTTTAATTTTATTCGGACAATATTTCAATTTATTAATCAATCTGCATGCACATAATCTGTCCTTAATTGAAGGACGAATATATTTCGAACAATATTTTAATCTATTGAAAATCCTCCATTTACATAATCTCTCCTGTATAGAAGGTCGAACTCTATTGGGACAATATTTCAAACTATGAAACATTTTACATGCACATACTCTGTCCTTTACGCATGGACGATCTGATTTAATTTTGTTCGGACAATATTTTAATCTATTGAAAATTCTACATGCACAAAATCTGTCCTTAATTGAGGGACGAATGTATTTCGAACAATATTTTAGTCTATTGAAAAGTCTCCAGTTACATAATCTCTCCATTATGGAAGGACGATAATATTTCGAACAGTATTTCAATCTCCTGCAAATTCCACATTTACATAATCTCTCCTTTATGGAAGGACGAACTGGTCTTATTTTATTTGGACAATATTTCGATTTATTAATCAATCTACATGCGCATAATCTCTCCTTTATGGGAGGACGAACTGGTTTTATTTTATTTGGACAATATTTCAACTTATTAATCAATCTGCATGCGCATAATCTGTCCCTTATGGAAGGTCGATTATATTCCGAACAATATTTCAATCTCTTACAAACTCCGCATGCGCATAATCTTTCCTTTATGGAAGAACGAGCATATTTCGAACAATATTTCAATCTATTGAAAATTCTCCATTTACATAATCTCTCCTTTATGGAAGGACGAACTGGTTTTATTTTATTTGGACAATATTTCGATTTATTAATCAATTTGCATGCGCATAATCTGTCCTTTATGGAAGGACGAACTGGTTTTATTTTATTTGGACAATATTTCAATTTATTAATCAATCTGCATGCGCATAATCTTTCCTTTATAGAAGGACGAGCATATTTCGAACAATATTTCAATCTCTTGCAAATTCCACATTTACATAATCTCTCCTTCATGGAAGGACGATTATATTCCGAACAATATTTCAATCTCTTGCAAACTCCGCATGCACATAATCTTTCCTTTATGGAATAACGAGCATATTTCGAACAGTATTTCAATCTATTGAAAATTCTCCATGTACATAATCTCTCCTTTATGGAAGGACGAACTGGTCTTATTTTATTTGGACAATATTTCACTTTATTAATCAATCTGCATGCGCATAATCTGTCCTTTATGGAAGGACGGACGGGTTTTATTTTATTTGGACAATATTTCAATTTATTAATCAATCTGCATGCGCATAATCTGTCCTTTATAGAAGGACGAGCATATTTCGAACAATATTTGAATCTCTTGCAAATTCCACATTTACATAATCTCTCCTTCATGGAAGGCCGATTATATTCCGAACAATATTTCAATCTCTTGCAAACTCCGCATGCGCATAATCTGTCCTTTAGAGAAGGACGAACATATTTCGAACAATATTTTAATCTATTGAAAATTCTCCAATTACATAATCTCTCCTTTATGGAAGGTCGAACTGGTCTTATTTTATTTGGACAATATTTCAATTTGTTAATCAATTTGCATGCGCATAATCTGTCCTTAATTGAAGGACGAACTGGTTTTATTTTATTTGGACAATATTTCAATTTATTAATCAATCTGCATGCGCATAATCTGTCCTTTATGGAAGGACGAACTGGTCTTATTTTATTTGGACAATATTTCAATTTATTAATCAATCTGCATGCGCATAATCTGTCCTTTATGGAAGGACGAACATATTTCGAACAATATTTAAATTTCTTGCCAACTCCGTATGCACATAATCTGTCCTTCATGGAAGCCCGAACATATTTCGAACAATATTTTAATCTATTGAAAATTCTCCATGTACATAATCTCTCTTTTATGGAAGGACGAACTGGTTTTATTTTATTTGGACAATATTTCGATTTATTAATCAATCTGCATGCGCATAATCTGTCCTTTATGGAAGGACGAACTGGTCTTATTTTATTTGGACAATATTTCAATTTATTAATCAATCTACATGCGCATAATCTATCCTTTATGGAAGGTCGAACATATTTCGAACAATATTTGAATCTCTTGCCAACTCCGTATGCACATAATCTGTCCTTCATGGAAGCCCGAACATATTTCGAGCAATATTTTAATCTATTGAAAATTCTCCATGTACATAATCTCTCTTTTATGGAAGGACTAACTGGTTTTATTTTATTTGGACAATATTTCGATTTATTAATCAATCTGCATGCGCATAATCTGTCCTTTATGGAAGGACGAGCATATTTCGAACAATATTTCAACCTCTTGCAAACTCCACATTTACATAATCTCTCCTTCATAGAAGAACGAACAGATTTCGAACAATATTTGAATCTCTTGCAAACTCCGCATGCACATATTCTGTCCTTCATGGAGGAACGAACATATTTCGAACAATACTTCAATCTATTGAAAATTCTCCATTTACATAATCTCTCCTTTATGGAAGGACGAACTGGTTTTATTTTATTTGGACAATATTTCAATTTATTAATCAATCTGCATGCGCATAATCTGTCCTTTATGGAAGGACGAACTGGTTTTATTTTATTTGGACAATATTTCAGTTTATTAATCAATCTGCATGCGCATAATCTGTCCTTTATGGAAGGACGATAATATTTCGAACAATATTTCAATCTTCTGCAAATTCTCCATTTACATAATCTCTCCTTTATGGAAGGACGAACTGGTTTTATTTTATTTGGACAATATTTCGATTTATTAATCAATCTGCATGCGCATAATCTGTCCTTTATGGAAGGACGAGCATATTTCGAACAATATTTCAATCTCCTGCAAATTCTCCATTTACATAATCTCTCCTTTATGGAAGGACGAACTGGTTTTATTTTATTTGGACAATATTTCAATTTGTTAATCAATCTGCATGCGCATAATCTCTCCTTTATGGAAGGACCAACTGGTTTGATTTTAGTTCTACATGAACATAATATGTCCATTATGGAACGCCGAGCAGGTTTTATTTTGGGATGAGCAGGTTTTATTTTGGGACAAGCAGGTTTTATTTTAGGACTAGTTTGAACAAGTTTCGCCACTTTAGTGGAACTAGTTCGAGGAATAGTTTTAGAGGGAGAAGTTTGATCAGTAGTTATTTTCTGAGAACAATATTTCATTCTGCAGAAAATTCTGCATTTACATAATCTTTCTGTTATGGATGGAGCAGATTTAAATTTCAAACAATATTTCAATCTTTTGAAAATTCTCCATGTACATAATCTCTCCATTATGGAGGCCCTAGTAGTCGAAGCCTTACATTTTCTAGTTTTCAAGTAGTGCTTTGTTTTCTGAACGGATACTGTACATATGATGGCCAAGATAAGTATACCCACAATTATAGCAGCAATACGACGATTTCTTCTAAAGAATACAAAAATATGGTACGTCATAATTATAATTTTTCTCATATAACTTAATACATACCTGCCCGAATTGTACAACTTTGTGCCATAATATATTGCATAACTAATTATTTTACCCCAGAGGAGTATTAGAGATAATGCAAACCAGCTGAAATAGTAAATTTTCAAGACAAATAAACTAAAATTGCTATCTGGAAGATTCTGTACAACTTACAAAATATAACCCACAATTTCCACACATACATTCAGAAATTGCATCCGACTGTTAACCGTTTCCGCTTCGCACGTTCTTTTCTCTTCGCAAAGGGGACAACGCGAGCATTCTTCAATTGCCTTTTGTTTCGCTTGACATTTTTTACATGGACAACGGCTTGGTTTACAATGTACGCGGGTCACTTTATGCACCTGCACAGAGCATGGCAGCATTCCAACAATTAGAATTTGAATTTTGAATTTTGAATTTGGAATTTTGAATTGAAAAGATAAACGAACAGCCGGATATTATATTTCATAATTTTTTTTAATTCTTCAAACTTACACATATAGTTATCAAATTAGAAATTAATGGCTACTATGTGTTTAAAAATAGAGAGTTTTAGATAATACCAATTCGGTCTTTGTCAAGAAACTTGGTATATATTTTATACTTTAAGCCCTATTCTTTCTAGTCATGATTGTGATTGCTTTTGAAAAAAGTTACCTTCTCCAAATGTAACATTTTATTTGTAAATGAGACCCTTAATTTGATGATGACGTCGCAACAGAACGAGGTAACAGAATACACATGTTATAGTGTAGATTAATTGCCCTTATCAGTGGAGTAACTCGAGGTAAGGCGCTAATCGCTACGTAATAAATTTTATGATGAATTTAAAGCATTTTCTGAACCAGAAACAAAATCTTTATCAGAATGTATAATAGATATAGATGGAAAATTGATGTTCGTGAAGAAAAAAAGTGTTCCTTAAACAAGAAAGATGTGATCACCTTCCCTCTTACAACTTTATGTATCCTTTCACGCTTATAAATTGATTCGATTTAGTATGATGTCAATAGCAATGGAAATTCCGTTAACTAAAAAAATTTACTTTAATAATAAATTATCAAGTCCTGTAATATTTAATAAGTTTCATAACCTAACGTTATATCGCTCAACTGGAAGTTAAGCGTTTAATAGGAAGTCGTTTTTTACTGCTAAAGTCTAATTTATATTATTCATTATTTAGTCATAGAATTTTAATAGATATAAAGTTTAAAAATACTAAAAAATAAGTCTTAGACATAAGATATACAGTCATGTTCAAAGAACGGCCGGGTGTAAGTAACGGAACCACCTTTAACTTCACTTTTGTAAACAATGATCTGGATCTCATTTGCTGAAACGATATGAATTACAAATTGACAACGCATCATATTTTACGTTTTTCCGAATTTTTTTCGACTCGCTTCACTTGTTGTTTGTTTTTTTTTCGTAGTTTACGATATTATATAAAAAGTCTTATTGCCTTAACATTCTCATTGTACCATTTACAATATTGCCTTATTGTCTAATATGTTAATATTACTTCATGCATTACGTTCCACTTCTGCCAACATTTTTTATTATGTTGACCTTTTCCGAGTTAGTGCACCTGGTCACATTTACTCTTTGATAGCTGGGGGGATTTCTGCAGAGTCCCACCCATCTTACTGACTAATTTGTGTATTCCTCATAAGCGTCGTGATTATTCAATGACTGATCTAAGATCTGCGTACCGCCCCGTGCGGTTAGAGATTACTCTAAAATTAGAAAATTAGTGCCAACATTTCTCAGTAATTACCTTCCACTTTTGTTGCTTACTATATATTCAACATAAACCAATAACATTTTTCATTAATTACATTCTATTTTTGTTAACAACATATATTTACTAAACCAATATTTTATCAATTATATTTTATTGTCGTTAAGTATATATATTCCACATTGATACAGATCAATTATTAGTTCACCGGAGAGTGTGATTATGATGTTAGTCGATCAGATCATTGTTTGAGCAAGCATAGCTATTATTTATGAAGACCAAATGTAGGCTACCACTTCCCTCCATTGGAGTTTCACTGTTTGCAACGAATGCGAATCAAGTTGATTATTCTAACGATGAACCGATAGCACTGATTACAACAATTCGCATTGACTCAAATGCGAATTTAATATTCTCAATATTCGATCCGAAATTTACCTCAATATTTTATTTAAAAAAATAAATTAAATATTGTGTATAAAAATAATATCTCAAATTGCAGTTTATAGAAAATTTCAAAATACTTTCTGAATACGGTTTGACGAATTTAATTTTATTTTGCATTGATTTTGTATGCACACAAATTCAATAACAAAATATCAGTAGAAAATATATACAAAATTGATATGGAATTCATATTTTAAATTGAAAATTGTAACACCATTCAACTTATTTATAAAATCCAATAAATTAAAAATTAATGAATAACTAATATTTCGCAATTATTTTTACAAAATTAATTTAAAATAAAAAGAATACATAAAAAATTTTGATTATTTTTTGTTTTATATAATTCTATTTAATATGCTTACATATATCTACATCGTTAAATATACTAATAAAAAACTAAATGGTAAATTTAAGTGCAGAATCTTTTCCTTTAGCTTAAATATATAAAAAGAATATAGACTGACAATTGAAAAAAGCAATTTAGTTTTAACATAATAAATATAAACAAAATTTGTTACATTAAATTTAAATTAAATAAAACAAAAATATATATAAAATAATCTTTATATTATAAGAGAAAATTAGGATTTGTATGCGATATTTTAAGGAGCAAGTGTATGGATGAAATTTATCATTTGAATTTACACAATCCAATAATACAACAAATATTTTTAAAATAACATATTTTTTCGCCATATTTATCCATTTACAATAATCATTTTTTATTTTTATTTATTAACTATATTTGTTTTCAATTAGATGAGTTACTTTCATTATGAAGGTTATATAAGGTATGTGTGTGGTAGGTATGATAAGGTAAGTAATTTGTGGTGTTGAAGTTGTGTGTGATACCATATGATACACATAATGGGTATATTAAAATTTAAACATAACATAAAAACATTGAAAAATTATGTCTAATTGTGTTTTGCAATTACAAAAATAAAAAGAAAATTAAATTTATTATAAATTCAAATTCTTCCAAATGGTAATTGCGCCCACTACATTGTTAGATTATTTCTTTACAATTTTTCCAAAGCAGCACAAAAAATTATTTAATTTTCTTCTGATTTGAATTTCGATAGGAATAGTTTTGAACATTTAATTATTTTTTTTTATTATTTTATTGTTTTTATGTAAATTTAATTTTGCTTATTGCGTTTATATTATTATTAGTAATCGTATAATTATTATTTAGTACTAATAAATAATATTACTATAATTACTTATAATCTTCGCTTCTAACGCGTTCTATATACTGTAATCATAACAGTCACAGGTTGTTTTATTTTCTTTGTTGTATTTGTTGTCACAATGTATCAATCAATGCTGTTCCTCATCTAGCAATTAGCAATTTGCAATTTGCAATCAGTTATTGTTAGTTACTTAAAAAAATTGAATCAGCTAAATTGATGTTTTCTGTTTAAAATTATTATTTGTTGATTTATTAATCTGCTTAATTCTTCAGTATAACTAATTTATTGGCTAAAGATCATCAGACATAAAAGAGTTTTGTGATTTTGATTCCTCTATCACGCGAATCTGTTCACGTAGATACATTAATCTGAAAAAAATATAAATATATTAATAATTGATTGTAATATGATTAAATAATATTAATTATTAATCTAATAATTAAATTAAAGTATTTTTATTTTCTTAAATTCAATAAATTACATTATTTTTATTAAATTTTCTAAACAACTGTACCACAGTTGATTTCATTAAGTCCTAATATCTTCATTTGGCAGACGGCATTTAGGCCATGCCTTTAGTTTAATAGTTTAACAATATTTTAATGTGTAAATATTTCGTAATTTATTTATTAATAGCATAAATAAACGTGTAAGATTAGTTTTAAGATTGAATATTTATACTGTTTTTGAACTAAAATTAAAATAAAAATACTATACTATACTCTACTACAGTAGTTTGGAAATCTGAACAGACCATTGAAAACAAGATACACAAGAGAAGTATTCACGATGAATATATATGAATATTAGGTATTAATTGAACAGTTCACAAATAAATGTATATATAGCTTAAAAAATTAATTAAAAAACTTACTTTTGATCTTGTAATGTTGATGATATTTCGGTTACTCTAACCAAACTTCTAGCACATTTTAAGTCTGTAGAAACTTTTGTGCACTGTAAATCTCCAAATACGTGTGTTTCTTCTGAACATTTTTGCGCCTAGCAATTACAACAGAAATAATTTTGTTAAAAACATATTCATAATATCTTAAACAATTTTACAATTTTAAAGCTTACCTGTTTTTCTATAATATCAGCCTGCCAGTTGGTCACATGCATTATTAAATCGCCTCTAAAATATTTTGCCAGTTTCGGTGATATTTCAGGACCTTGTGGCCGCCCAACTTGTACTGATGATGCAACACAGCTTTGCAAAGAACTTAATGATGCAGATGTTGTACTCTCTACTGTTTGAAATAATAAAATAAATAAATATGCATAAGCATAAAATTTTTTACTTACGCTTTCGTTGCTGTTGCTCTATAACCGAACTACTTATATCTAGTTCTTGTGTAGGTGTTGGTGGTCCTTCACCAGAAACTATGCCTACGCCACTAGAACTTCCAATGGCAGCAATATTCGTTAAGCTAGATGAGGGACAAATACCGCTATTGCCAATTGCATGGTTGATAGTGTTACCGCCCTCCGCAGTCTTAAGTCCAAATGGTGTATTACAAGGATATGGTGCTGATACAACACCCATTCCAATAGGTACACCTACATTATTTGAATGAACGCTACTAGCGTTAGCTACACTATTCACAGATGTGCTAGGACTTTTTGTATAGCTCATAGGTGACATAGCATGAGTTAAATTGTATAAAGGTGAATTCATCGAATTATCCCTGAAAACAAAAAGAAAGCATATTTAAAGTTAAATAGTTTATTTAAAATATTTGATTTTTACTTTTACATACCTCAGCGTAATTACTCCGGGGGGTACAGCATTGGAACCTAATGCATGATTTGTTGCATCAATAGAAGACACTGTGTTAGCAGGTAACATTTCTGCAGCACAAGTCATTAAATAATGGTGATGTGAATGCTGTCTCATTAAAATTGATGTTTTTTGCAGGTTACTCAATAAATCTTGATCCATTGTACCCATTTTCGGGGGACCTGGAGTATTTGAATTTAAATGATGATCCACTTGATTTGTTGATGATAATGGTAAACTTGTGTCCTGTTTGAAATCGTTTAGTAGAAATCGTTTAGTATATAAAAAAGAATATTATGAGCTATAAAAAATATTCTTACATTTGGCGATACGTTTGTAGCTAAATGTTGTCCTTGTTGCAGCATCGTCACTGTATCTATTTTCCTATGATAGTTATTTTGAACATGAATGCCTGCAACTGCTGCTGATGTTGATGACACCGATACAGACGAGAGCCCAGTTGTCGGTAGCATAGTTGCACCACCAACAACCATGCCACTGCTACCGGTAACACCTGCAGCAGAGTAATGTAATGCCGAGCCTGACGCAGTTGTTGATGCCGACATATTTGTTGTATTAGGATGCGAAGATAATCTAGGCAGCGCATTAGGCAAACCAATTGTTGAAGACGGAATAGATGATTGGTCGTTTTGCTGGGATCCACCAACACCGTGTGTTGTAGGTGTGCCAGTTAGTGGATAGCTGGCCTCTGAAGTGGGAGTTGAATCACCTGGACTGATATCCATATCAGTATTTTCTAGTCGACCTATAAATGATTAAATATTAATTTATTTGTATTAAATAATATAAAAATAATATAACACATTAGTAGTAGTATCGTTAAAATTTTTGATACTATTTTAATAGTGGTTAGAAGTAGTAAAATTTAAACAAATTATACTAAAACATAAATATATCCTCGCTAAACCAATTTTAGAGAGATTAAATAAAAATCAATAAAATTTATATAATTTCTTAATTAAATACAAACTTCATAATTTATAAACTGTTAAATTTTTATCATTTAATCTTACCATCTATTCGCCTTCTCTGACTTGGTGCTCCATTATCATTATCAAAATTCCACCTCAGTCGTGAGCTTGCTCGAGAACTGGAATGTTTCGTATATGCTGCAAGAATCAAAAGCAAATTATATTGTAGTTTTTAACAGGAATCAAATATTTATTTTTAACCTACCAGATCTTACAAAACGATCATCACGGTCCCTGTCACGATCTTTATCTCGATAATCCTTTTCTCTATGTTGATCTCGCGCCAGGTTTCTAAATATTTATAAATATTTTTCATTATAAAGTAAAGCAAAAATGTGTAAGGTTTTACAAAAAATTTTACCAACCTTTCTCTTTCAATCCATTCCTTTGGTTTCTCCCATTGAGAGACTTCAGTTTTACAGTTATAGTAATACATTTTTCCTAAAAAGAAAATAATATATTTTAAGGACATCTAAAAATTGATCATTTTTTTATGTTATAATTTATATCGCGATTGTTAACCCGCCATGAGAATGAAGTTAAAAAAACTTTAAAGTGCCGTATAGTTCGTATAACAGATAAAATAAAAAAAAAATATAATATTATCAAAGAGAATATATTATAAGCAGTAAAACAAATATTTCTGTTTAATTTATTCAATCATAATATAAAACAATGTAATATTGTATTAAAAAGGAGGGATATTTCATATTTACAAAATATTTCCGTTTCGTTTTGATAATATACCATTAAAAACTCAGTGAATATTTTGATCATACAGAAAAATAAAGCTCACAATGGAGCGATAATACTGCGATAATACTTCCTTTACTGGCTTTCACAACAATCTTAACATATGTTTTTTACTGCAAGTTACATCGCTTAAGAGTAACATAAACAATAGAAGTCAACACAAACCATACAGAAAAGTACTGCGAGCTTAACATATCTTCAATATTTTTTTGTTGAGATACTATCATTTAAAGAAATCGCTAAAAATTCTCGGAAAAGTATATCCACAATCTCATTATTCATAGGTACTAATAGTACCTATACTATTGTCTATTACATATACTTAACAGATAAAGTCAAAAGGTGTCATCACCTTGCAAACAGATATCATAATGTCACAATATAAGGTCCGTTCTAATTAAGATAGTAACTGAGAGTATGTCATTATGTTAGGTAACCTATCACTAGCCTATGTAAAAAAAGACTCTTATTTCTAATCGAAAAGATAAACATCCGTCCAGTCTGACGATAATCTGTAATGATGTAGCAGTAAATATTTTTTTTTAATTTTTAGCTATTATAATACTATTCGATTTTAATTTAATTTTATTTTAGGCAACTCTACAAACAAGTGCATTATTTAACTGCGTTTTTCTATACCAAATAAAATCAGCAACACAAAAATCTTTGAACGAACTCTATTTAAATATTCTTATTAATTGTTTTTACTTACCAGAAGAACTAACATGTTCACTCCAATCACCATATCTCACTATCCGTTCACCACGATCTCCCCCTCCCCGTTCTCTTTCACGTTCGCCTCTATCACTGCGATCTCTATCTCTTTCTCTTTCACGTTCGCGTTCTCTATCTCTTTCACGATCTCTTTCTCTATCCCGATCACGATCTGAACCTCTATCGCGTTTATTATCTCTTAAATCTCTTTCGCGATCTCTATCGCGATCATCTGAACCCGATCTTTTTTCACCACTACTTGATGAAATAAGCTTCGTTCCGCCACCACGTCTATCAATCCGATCGTGGTTAGTGCGATGCGATTCTGATTCTCTATCATTACCTCCCCTTCTATCGCGTTTATCTATTTCAATTAAAAATAATAACGGTTAGTTATTTGAAAATAAAAAGTTACTACATCTGATATTTACATTGAAAGTTACCTGAAGAATATTTATCTTTTTTGTAGACATCACGATCTCTATCCCTCATTTTCTGAATGTAACTGAATCCGCTACCACGGTGATCGCCACGATCGCGTATATCGTGTGATCCACCGTGCCTTGATGACGGTGAATCTAATTCAGGCGTGTGTGATCGATACGATGAACTGTTACCATTATTTAATGAGCCTCCACCAATGGGTGAGATATCACGATCCCTATAATTCGATGAACGTTCACGTTCATATTCGCGTTTTGAACTGTATTTGGAACTCTGAAATAAATTAATATATATAATTGTTAATAATAAATAATATCTAATTAGATAGGCAGCAAAGAGGCAAGATTTCAAAATACAAAAATATGGAACAAGACAAAACTGGCCAATAAAAATTTTTTTTTTTACCAATTTCATAGAAACAACGAATGCAATATAGATATTAGAATATAAGTTTTTATATATTTACAGTCGTAACACAGTCGAATTTGGATTAGTTTTCAATTTGACAATAACACAATTTGGATAAATAGATTAAAAACAATGAGCCCATAAATTATTTAAAACCATTTCGACTGTATTTGTTTCCATTAATTAAAAAAGTAGTTATGATGAATAAATATTATTAATTTTTTTTTTTATTTTTTTTTTTTTGTTTTTTTGTTTTTTAAATGTTTACAAATGTGCTAGCGCTGAAACTAAAATAATGCTACTTACATCTATGCGACACAGCCCGACAGCAGCATTTTTGTTACAGCCGGGTGCCAGTGATAAGTCTACAGTTATACTATTTGTGGTAGTCATAAACTGTGATGAGAACTCTTTTAATAAAACTTTTTTGTTTGTTTAAATTAAAGTTTTGTTGAAACTATTACTTTATTACTTTTTTTTTTGGGCTTAAGCCCCTTTATGTTATAATATGAAGGCGAGAAGATGATTGATTGATTACCTTTTATGATTTTCTCATTTGTTTTTGTTTTGTTTAGTTTTGTTTTGATTTCTTTTAAAGTCAAAGCGATTGATATTTAAGTTTTAATTTATGTATTAAAAATTTATTGCGGTGCAGAAGTTCGTATAAAGTCATCCACACTTTTACAAAATTGTCCTTTTGTTATGATTTCATAGGCGTGATTTTTAACTTGATTGCTACTATAACAAAGGAAACTCTTAGTAAAGCAATTTAGTGGTAACTTATAAATAAATGATGCATATATTTTACATCTTATAATTAAAGTTATTATACAAATGCAGCAATTAGTATTAAAAAACAAATACTTTTCAAATTTAACTGGTTTATTTATAAAATTATATTCTACAATTGATATATAAAAACATACAGCAAGAAGAGCTTATATAAGTTAGGTAGGGTTACGTTAAACTAGCTGGCCGTAAGCCATGCATAAACTTATTGGTCCCCTATATTGATACCACATGGAACTAAACGCCCATGTAGATGTAAAGTTCCAAGAACGGTCGGGTCTACGTCCCGGAGCCACTCGTCATCTACGACGACCAAGTACCGTTCAACACCTCCCAAAGGGACTCCATAAGCAGGTCCCGGTGGGTTACAACAACAACATGTAGATGTAAAAATAAATGTAATAAGTATTGTTGTAAATCTATGAAAAGATTTATTACTGACACTCAGACACCAGTATTTTTTTAAGATTTTTTAAGCTTATACTTTGAATATAGTTCAAATGAACATAAAAGGATGAAAATTAACAGTTGTCTGTCTGCTTGTCTAAGGTATGATCATGGTATAGTGGCCTCAAAGTTGATTAAACCATATTTAAATGCTAATTTATTAGAATTAGTGTCTCAAAGCGTTTAAGCATTACGATACATGACTAGTTCTTCGAGTTTAATCGAATTCAAATATTTCTTTTACCGAACACTTCAAATATTCGAAAATGTTCGACTTTTTCGAAGTGGTGGTTATAGTTTTCGAATACGTACTGTTCTATTTAATGTATCACTTTATTTTCGTTCTGCAAATTTAAATCTGTACAAACAGCATTTTCATATGGTGCGCTGTGCACATAGATTAGGTTAGGTTGTACCGGCGCTCGCTGGTGGAACCACTTAGGCCTATTGGCCCATTGCTCGATGTTTAATAATGGATAATTAATATCCATTATTAAAAGATTTAGTAAGTTGCATGTATAATATTAACAGGGATATTTAGTTTTTATATAAACTTAAGTTATTATATAGTTTATATGAATTTATAATTCAGAAATAAATCCTGAAAATGGTTATAAAATAAAAGAAAAACATTCCCGTCTCTCATTCTATTTATTAATGTCATTAGAGTAAATATACCATTTTTCTTAAAGTACTATTACATAGCACATTAATGATTTGTATGATATCTATATAAGTGTATAAGTAATCAACCAAGTAGTCTTACGAAAAAGAGTTTGTGAATAAAAACATAAAAAGATATATTTAGTCCATTAAGTATAAAAAAAAAATAGTTAAAAAAAATAGTGTATATTATTTTCTACTAACAATAAAAATTATTTTCTCTTAACAACAAATAGCAAAATAATTCTAATTGAATTTAATATTTTAATAAACCATAATTATATAAAAACATAGGTAAATCATTAGTTGTAATTCTTGTAAAATTTTTTAAATATATATTTTTTACTTAGACTGAATGAATATTTATTATATTCTTAATCTATTGGCAAAGTTTATACCAAAGCTGTCAGACATTGTTTAAATTGTATTTCATATTTTTAATTATATTATTTGCTGCATTATTATATTACAACTCCAACAACCGATATTAATGAAACCAAAAAAAAAAAAAAAAAAAATAAACAATAATCTAAAATTAATAATATATATTATAAAACTAAATTAAAAATTATTTGATATATAACATTCTGCAATAAATTCTTAGAAGTAAAATAAATAGCTTAAATACTAGAAACCTAGTAAAATTATTTTCAATTCAGAAATATTAGTGTGGGCAAAAAATATTCACTGTTTTTTCTATTAGTTTAAATTGAAAGTGCAAACGTGTGAAATGGTAGTACTATTGACTGTCTATACTCTGATTAGCCTATTACCAAAAAAGTAGATAAAATTATGATCACAATACTACTAAGAAATTGAAGATCAATTGTTGCGCTGCTTTAAATCATATGGTGTAAGGTAACCGATGATGAAAATTGGATCCAGTATAATAGTGTCTTACAAAAATATTGTATAATAATTGAAATAAACATCAACGACTTTAATAAAGTTTCTATAATACAGATAACAGCTACGTTGTTGTTGCAAATTTGTTTTTGCTTATAAATAGCATTAATGAAATCTGTGCTTCTCAAATTATTTAGAATAATAAAATATTAATAGACAATACAAATTGTAGAGTGAATACACCCTACAGCAAACCTGAAAATTCAGTTTCAATGTAAACATGTTCAAAATGTTTTCAATTTTGTCGAAAAAATACGCTGAGTACTTTTTGCCCAAACCAATTTATATTGTAAATAAAATAAATTGTATATAATATTGACTTTATATGACTGATTGAACCCATATATTTTGTACTTGCGAACCAGAATTGAGTTAATTATTTTATTATCATATTGTGATTTAATTATTTTATTAAAACTAAAAGCATTTAGATTGGTTTACATTCTAAAACAAAGCATTTGATCTCTGTTGACATAGATAAGACTGTTTTAAGCTTAAGCTACAGATATCGGAAACAAAGTTTACGTTTATTTTCCTTTAATAATCATAAGAATAATTGGATATAATGTATAGGAAATATAAAGAAAATAATTAATGGTTAGAATACTCATAACATTTAAACTTAACATTTCTGTCTGTTTACAATGAGAATTTTATTACTATTATTAAGATTATACGTAATATCTGAATAGAATCTAATAACATGGAAGAAATTAATGTAATAATTCCCCAATTATTGAAATTTTAAAGTCCTAAGTGTTTACGAATGAAAGTCATTTACTGATATTATCTGTTATACTATATAGCATATAGCATACAACACATAAGAAGTATAATGGAATGTTTTGCTAGTTATAACACCCTAAATATTTACAGCGTTATGTTTATGGTGAGCAATCTATTACTGTTAAATAATTATACATATTATCTTAATATGTTATACTGTATAATATTCTTCTCCCATACATATAGGACATAACAAATAGCATGGAATAAATTACAAATTATAACACCACAAATAGTCACACTTTGTTCTTTGTGTTTTCGATAGACAACTTATCACTGGTATCCTGGTAGAAGATGGTGCGTATTATCTGAATAAACCCTATTCTACTATATACATATTGTATATAAGAAATAATATAGAACGAATTAATAGCTTTAACACCCTAAATTATAAGAGTTGTTTCTTAATGCGTCATGTATAACAGTTCTGCTGTTTAACAAAGGATTTCATTAACATGTTCGAAAATAGTTTCTATTTTTTGATAAAACCAATTAGGAAACCCGAACAAAATATGGAGTACTTTGAATACATATAAATATTACAGTATTGATGAGATTTGTGAGTACTACTACATTAAAAATTTACGTTAAAAAATTACGTTTTAGAACAACATAGGTTTATTTAATTAAAAATCATCTAAGACTAATTTGAAGAGAATAACTACTCAATTCAACAGTTTGCAACCACTTTTATTATTGTTGACATGAACTATTTATTTAGAACTTTTGTTATGAAATGGTTGAACCATTTTCTTGATATTACTTCTATTTTGGCACTTACATTTTTAACATAAGCTGCAATTAAATCCCAACTTTCGTACATATTAAAAGTCATTGACATTTCAATATATCACATAAAAATAAATATATTCTTTAATCAACTTATTTTTGAATTCTCAAAAACTCTTGTGTTTGAGGAAAAAGCCGAAAGTGGCAACTAAATTTTAACAACAATAAAAAAATGACAGGAAGAAAACAAAACATATTTTTTGTTATACCAACACAATTAAAAAATATTAAAACTACTTTCCTCTAAATAACTTAAGATAAATAAAACGAACTAAAATTAACTTTAGTTTAACTAAAACTCTATTAAAACTATTCACTTTAAAAACTCGACAAGAACAATTAAACAAGTAGGCAATTGTTTTAATCCTTCGAAACTCACCTGATAAGAATGGGATTGATGCTTCTCAAAGTAGCTGCAAAAAAAAAAATTTATTAAATATTTGAAAATTAAAATATATTAAATTTAAGCATAAATGTATAATAAATTATATAAAATAAATAGTTCAACTGCAATTCAATATTTTTTTAAATTAATATAAATTTACATAGAAGCAAAAAATTTATAAATTCTAGTCATCTTTTGCAGGGTGGAAAATTTAACAGGATAGTTTGTAGGTTCGCTTGTGTGTTCATCTTTGTTGCATTGGGAGAAATGTCGGTAACATGCCTAAATCCTCCTGTGGGCGGGGGTTAGATGAAAGCAACTGTTGTTTGACATTCTCATATACATTTCGATTCAGGTGCAAAGGAACTAACAAAATGAAATTAAGTACTAAAATAAATGTAAACAAATTTCAATGGAAATATATTTTTGCCTTTTGACTTGAAAACGAATCTACAACGACTCATAAAAGATAATTATCATAATTATTATAAAAAAATTATAAATAAATAAAAATAAAAATAAAAATATAAGAAGATTAAAAACAACAATATTGTTTAGTTTTTCTAAAGAAACACTTTGGCCTGTCCTACAATCTTAACAAGACAGCAATTGTTGATTTAATGGAATACAGTATCTCTCTGGAAGAAGTGGAAGGAATAAACAGGATTAACGAAGCTCCCAACAAAGCGGAGCACTGCGAACATGATTAAACTTTAGTGATGCAACAGACCATAACCGAATAGAAGACATTCCGCCTTTCGAATAAAGGCCAAAATGTCGGCCGTTGGAAGGATACTTGTAACATTTTCTGTGATTAATCGGATTTGAGATGGGTCGTTAAAACGATATTGGTGCGTAAACTCTTTACCTTCATTGTCTTAATAGGTTTTATATATTAATCGTCATCTCAATAGATAAAATATTTAATAAAAATTCACAAAACCAGAAGTAAAATTTCTGCCTTTTCAATATATAATATATAAAATTTGCAAAGCAGGTGTTATGGTTACATTGTACTAGAACAGCCAAAAGTCTATTTATATATTCAAAGAATTATTGTAAGAATAAATAAATGTTTATTTAAAATATTTCTGTCTTTTCAATATATACAAAAGTGCAAGGCAGGTGTTATAGAGGTACTAGTACATCTGAAAATCTAAAAATGGAAGGTTAGTACTACAATCATAGTTATCTAATTATATATAACAATTATTATAAGAATAAATATTTAAATGTTCACTTCCAATCTTCTAGTGAAATATCACTATACACTATTTATTCCATAAGAGCGACATAATAATAGCATACAGATATTGTAAAGGATCTTAAGACATTAAAGTATATTTTTTTTTTTATTTACCAAGGAAAGCAGATTTATTGACATTACAAAATGTTAAAATGCTAAATGTGGTGCTAACACTCCAAATTGTTTATCTAGATTGTTATCCAGAAAAAAAATACTGCCAATATGGGGGAGAAAAACAATGTATTCACCATCTGTTTTGGTTCAACATATGAAAGAAACGCATTGTTCTTCTGTAAAGCACAAAACTACAACAAATTTTAGCTAAAACATATATACTCATAGATAAAAAGAATAAGAGTACAAATTGCAATATTAATAACGAATGTTGAAAAATTAGTTTAAAATGTTTATGTTAAAAGATGCAGCAAACGTCATCATAACGTCGAAATTTATTTAAACTCTTTGCAAATTTAATAAAAAAAAAAGATTAGGTACGGTATGACTGCAAAACAAGAGAAGTAAACACAATCTATAAAGAAAAACAAATTAAGACTATCAATCAAAGAAAATTTGTATTAAAATGATGCAGATATGGATATATAAATTATGCAATTTTTCGTAAATTGGATAATGTGATCAAATTAAAAGAAAACTACAACACAAATCGCACAAACAATAACAAAAACATAATTGACAAAAAGTTTCAATTGAAGAAAACACCCAATATTCGAGCTGGTTTGTCTAAAATAGTCTCTATCAAAAATTAGTTGGTAATTCAATTGTTTTTGTTGTAATCCGGAATGATTTGCTTGCTTGTGTAGTCTCTTATGGTTGTGGACTTGTTCGTCGAATTTGAAGAATGACTTCGGGACGTAGAGCTGGCCGTTCTTGAAACCCTGCTGGTTGTTATCGACTGGTTTAAAGAAAAACGCTGTCAAAGACCGATTTGAAAGATTCTCATAAGATATATTGTACTTTGCAAAACAGCATATATATACGACATAAAACAGCCAAGAATTCTGTTTTTATTTCTGAAGAGAAAATATTTAACGTTGATGATTTCTGGTAAGATCTTAAGAGGTTCGAGTGTTGTTTTATTGAGCCAAAACTTTGGAGGCGGTTTGTTGGTAGCTTAAGTTGGTTTAACACAGAAAATAATATAAATCTGTTGAATGAAGCTCCCTTTTATATATAAGTACTGCCCATATATATTATTTTATTGAAGAATAATGCTGACGTACATGTTTCACAAATCGATTGGGTTTGGTATTGCAGCATATCTAAGCCGGTGTCCAGTGTCTTCTTAGGATATCTGACTGAAAGATATTTGTGAAAGAGTTGCAAGTTTAAGTTAAAGAATAAACTGCGAAAATCTATTACCAAATAATTGATCATTTCCTATTTAACTGCGTTACAACCCAATTTCCTTTGCAATAAAAATTATATACAAAAACAACTGTTTGTTTAAATTAAGTATATAGTCCTATAGAAATAAGAAATAATCTACACAGGTTATTTCATATTGACGATATATATATGTAGCTGAATGCAGTTATGTTATAGTTTATGTAGATCAACAGATCAAGCTAGTCGCAGTACATAAAGGCCTAAGCCATTACTATTATAATTTATGTACATTAAACAACATTAATTGCATATCATTCAGCAATCAGCAGTGGCGCGTTTTAAGTATATATCCAGTGCCCAATAACGTACAAAAGCTAACCACTAGGAAAAAAATGGATTAAAGTATTTATAGATTATCTTAGGGTAGAATTTCCCTTTTGAAGAAAGCAACATTTAATAGGAATTTATCAAGAACATATTTTTACTGAAGCAATGGACTATCAAGGAGTGTTAACTGAAGTACTCTTTACTGCAATGAAAGGATCACATACATACATATATAATTTTCGACACAGTAATATTTTTGAACATGACTCTAAGAATATAGAATCGTAATTTTGAAAACACAGTACACTATTTCAGAAACTAATATCAATTAAAATATATACTACTATTATTAATATGATACACAAACATTTCGATTAAACAAAACCAAAAGATTATATTAATTATAAGGAAAGGAATATTTTGAAGTTCGATATTGTTTTTAGTTTATAATTAATAAACATTCAGTGTACTTTCTTAATATTTGTAGTTCGATAGTAAACAATTCTCCAAAACATTCTGTAAGATCACGAATCACTTTTGAAACTTTTATATTCATTAAACTGGATATATTTAATAACAAAAGAAGCAAGAAGTTGGGAGCATATTAATTTTAATTATTAAATGTGCTTAAGACGATTAGGGAGAAGTTAACTACGAGAGTTATAGATAATTTGTTACAATTAATACAAAAACATTTGCTGGTTAAGGTGTACAAGATAAAGTTCTTGCAATTGATCCAGTGTCCAGGGGGAGGAAGTAGCATTTATCCATATGAAAATATGAGCAGCTACAGAACGTAGACCCGGACGGTCGTAAAATCACAAGATACAATTAATTAATTTTGATGAAAGCAAGAATAATATTAAAATACTTTAATTCTTTTAAATTAATAAGTAATTCTTTCAAATTAATAGAAAATTTATCGCAATTTCTGTTGCAAACAGTAAACAAATGCTTTTCGCTGTGAGGCTAATTATTAATCTGATACTGAACTCTATTTTGTTTTCAATTGAAGTTTCTTAAAAACAAGAAATCACTAAAGACGAGTCAGCATATAATTACTGACCTTGGTTACACGTAACATCAATAAACTTTGTGACAATATCTACTTGCCATACTATATCGCTCCACAGCTAAGATATATATTTATTCCATTTCTTAGCTTATTCTTTTGAATTCACTTCCGAAAGGAATTTTTGGAAAAATATGTGCATATGAATAGTGACACATATTTAAAGAAGTGAAGAAAATGCACTATTCAATTATGGAATTAATTAATTGCAAATTTTCTGTCGATTGAGTGCACAAGCTCCGTAGAGAACAGCAAATGGGAACAAACGTTAAAGGCAGGCAAGGCAGGCCAAATGTTCTGAAAATTTACAAACAAATAAAAAATAAATTAAAACCGAAAAAATTAATCAAAATTAAAATATTAATTGTGTTAACATATATACATAATGTAAATATGTCGATATAATTACCGCATATGAGGAATTTGTTGAAGAACAGATGACTGAAAATATGACGAATTCAGATACACAGAATCCAATTACTGGCTATATAAGAATGTTGACAAAAAGCCGAAAATGGCGGAAATGGCATATGTTTTCACATTTAACAAATTTATTCTAACAAAAACAAATATTTTTATTCACTAAATTGCGGGGAAATTATGAAAATTTCACATACAATTTGGAGCAAAAAAAATTTAATTCAGACATTTTTTATTTTTCCACCTAAAAGAAATCGGAAAACGACAGAACCAATGAAAAAAAAAAAATTCAAAGGGAGAGAGAGCAAGTAAGGTGGAAAAATAAACACAAAGCAGATTATGAAATCAAAGCCATAAGAATGGCCAGGTAATGATATAAAGCGGAAAAATGCCAGCTAAAACGTTTTACAAATAAATAAATAAAGTGTTAAGAAAAAACTCGTAAGAAAAGTAGTAAATAAATTCAAAAAGCTGAAACAAATTTTAATCTACAAATGATTATTATTAATATTACCCATCATTCAAACGTTGCGGTTTTCTAGCATGCATTACCATCAATGCAAATTCTGCACGATCCCTTCGTCTGCTGTTTTCTTTCTTTTTTGTTATAAAATTGCGACTTCAATTAATATATTTTTCCTTAAGACCAAAAATCGGAATCATAAAATTCAATGCGGGTTGTCGCACGTAGCTAATTGGGACTCCGCTCGTTTTGTCTATTGCTTCTTAACGAACGTGTTTTTTATGTTTGGAGATATTGAATTAATTCATTTGTTTTCAAACTACATGTAATTTCTCAGAATTTATATAATATAATTTACATTCAATATAGAAATGCTATTTTACAAACTCCCAAGATAGAACAGAATTTAGAACTTTTACTTTGATGCGTTTTCCTTCTCTACACTTGATGAAATTTTTTTTTGCCTGTTATGCTTTGACTTTCGGTAATTATCATTTGAGGTGAATTTAGCATCTCCATTTCGCGCTCCTTTTTACCGCTGTCAAAATCATTTATATATTATGTTGTCTCTTTTTTTCTAATGTCAACGTTAACAAGATGAATTATTGTACATTCACAATTGAATCTTTTATTGTGATCGAACTGTTTATTACAAATTTCTGTATTCATATGGTTCATATAAGGTCTGTTCCACGAGCTACTCGTGGTAACTTTGAGTAACACTGTGAATACACAAGTGCGTGTAAATTTTATTTCTGTTTTACTTTAGTTTTACTATGAGTAGCTTGTGGAACACACTCATAATGATGACTTTCACATTATTCTTTAATTGGGTATTTATTACATATAAATCAATAACTCAGATTACTGTGTCAGAAAAATTCAGTCTACAGTAGTAATATTTTTATGATCAGCTCAAATTTATTTAACTTAATTTAAATTTTTCAAATTTTCAAGTAAATGAAAGCATCTGAGAGTGTAATATCCCTGTCGAAATTTGAAAATGCTACACAGACAATAATCGTACAATTTATTTCAAGTAAAATTGTGTTGATGTGTGAATCAGCTGTTTTGCGTTGATTTTAAATTTTTGTATTGTTTATTTGCACGACACTGGTGTTCTCACCAGACTTTACATAAAGCTGTTCCATGAAAATCTGTGTAAGGAGCGTAATTTGGCACTTTATTTGAGTTACGCTCTCAGTTTGTACTTTACTTATATATTTTACTTGAGTTTTACTAAGAGTAGTTTGTGGAACAGACCTAATATTTATCAAATATTTGAAACGTTGTCACTATTTAGCATGCTAAACGATATGCCTAAATAGGAAGATTTCGATTTTCTAAAATATTAAATTATGTTATTTTATATAAAATATTACAAAATTACAAAATTTTTATGCTGCAATATAAATAGTTTCAAAATGTTTTAATAATATTTATTGAACAGAGCGCAAGCAATGTGACGGGCTGACAGAATTGCACTCGAATACGTATTATTGTTCTTTATTTCTTGCACACTGAATTATTGAATTAATATTTTTAACATTTAAAAATTGATTTTCTGATTAATATATATGATTTACTTAATTATTTAAATATTTATATATATATTACTAAACAACATAAATTTTTCATATTTGTATCAAAATAAAGCAGAATATTTTATTTGTTTTCCAACACTTTTTTATAGCATTTTTGAGTGGCAGCCTTTATAAATGCGGCAAGTTTTCTTAATTTTAAACAAACTAAACGTCAATATGAATGTTTTAGGAGAAAACATATACAATTATGTATTTATTTCAAATCAGGATTGTGAAAACGAAAACGTTTACAAAGTATGAAGTTATTTTATTATAATACTACAAACGATAAATGTATGCAAGGGCATTATTGTTATTATTAAAATTATTGTCGTGAATTCGCCCAACAACCGGTACTGTGGCCAGAAGAGTCCCATTGTACCAATTTCACTTTGAATTATACAAAGCCATTTAAAGCTTTGTGAACAACGTTCAGAAGTAAATTTGGAGTGGAGTTCTTAAGCTATACTGGTGACAGAAACTTCCACATGAAACATGTTTCTTCTGTGCGTTGTTAAAGCTGAACAGTCCTAAGGAGGACGTAGGGTACAAGGGTATATAAATGATAGTATTTTGAAAAAGTATAAAGGATTTTAAATAAATTAAAATATTTTAAATTATGTTTAGTTTTTTGTTGTAATATTTCTCACATTAAAATCAGTAATTTTGATTTATTTGTTTAGTTATACATAATTAAAATTTTTTCTCTTTTTTTTCAGTTATGTTTAAACAAAATAAAAACTAAAGAAACCGTATTGTTGATGACACGGGATAAACACAATATTCTGACCTTGGTGAAGGACTTGAAAATATCAAAAAAGGATTTGCAATATTTAATAATAATGTATGTATTGAAAATGTAAACGCAGTCAATATTTATTCATTATTTCAAAATATATTTCAGGTATTTTAAGAGTATCACTGAAATTACACATAAACTGCTTGAGTTACATGATTGGGTGTATGTACCCACTTTGGTGGTTGTCGATTTTTGCCCATTCATTGCATCACACAAAGAAATCAGTATATCGCATGAAAACGCAGAAAAGAGTGGAAAAAGATCATTATTGGAAAAGATCTATTTTTGTATAGCTACTCTTTTTAATTACATGGAGTCAGTGCAGCGAAGGCAGAATAAATCAAACCAAGATAAAATGTTGAATCGCGTGAATATATATAGTTTTGTTTTACTAATAGAGCAGCAAGAATTTCTAACGCGGGCTCAACTAGATTTGATCATCAGCTTGTATTTTTATAAAAATCAACACCACAACGATTTTGATGCAATTCAAAAAAGCATTCTTAGCAATGAAATTTCATGTGAATTGGAATAAGTCGAGTACATGTTGAACAATTTACTGTCCTACATAATTTTTTTGTTTAGAAATTATTTTGTGTGGGCGTTCAGTATGAGTTTAAGCTCCTTGTGAAGTGTCTCTAAGTACTGGACTGTGGAAGCCCGTGTGTAATTAGGAACGAAGGATGAGGGAGAAAATGTTGCTATTACTACAAATACCGTGTAATCAAAAGATTTGAGATATTGGCTTAAAAGTGTATTCAGCTTGAAATATTACGCAGAGTGGTTACAGCTTTTTATGAGATGCATACGATTCTCTCCCAATCCCACAAGTATAAAATACTTTCCTTTCAGTAATAAAAATTTATTTCTAAATGTCAAACCAAGTGAAAATTAAATTAATTTATTTTATTTATTTATTTAAAAGAAAAACTTTTTTTTATAAAATTAATTTATGGAAAAAAAAAAAATTTGATGTACATGTACTAATCTTTTATAATTACCTAAATTCTTCAATATGTCAAGGCTTATTCGAAAATATAGAAGTTATCCAAAATATTTTGATGGCAAAAAGTTTAAAGTATTGAAATTTATAGACTCGGGAAGCTTTGGTAGGGTGTTTTTGGGTAAAAATCTAGAAAGCAACCAATTGGTGGCCATAAAAATGGAATCGAATAAATTGAAAAGATCACAATTGCTAACTGAAAATAAGATCTATCGTTTATTAAAGGAGTCAACTGGAGTACCGAATATGTACTATTATGGAAATCAGGGTAATTATCGTGCTATAGTTTTAGATCTAATGGGACCGTCGCTTAAATCGTTGCTCAGGACTTGTAAAGGACATTTTTCATTAAAAACTATTTTAATGCTATTCAATCAAATGTTGGATCGTGTCGAGGATCTTCATTCAAAATCTTATGTCCATCGAGATTTGAAACCTGCAAATTTTGTTATAGGCGTTGGTGATCAATCTCAAACACTACACTTGGTTGATTTTGGTTTGGCTCAATTGTATCGCAATCCGACTACCAACGAACATGTACCCAATGAGCGCAAAGAGTTCGCAGGAACATTGGTATATGCATCGATAAATTCTGTTAAAAACTTAGCACAAAGTAGATGCGACGATTTGGAATCAATAGGTTATTTGTTGATACATTTTCATCGTGGAAAATTACCTTGGTATGATCTAGTGGCCTGTGGGCCCATGCAAAAATTTGAGAAGATGACTGAATTGAAACTAAGCATACCGATCGAGAAACTTTGCACAGGACTTCCAGATGAGTTCAGTTACTATATATGGTATTGCCGCAGTTTAAATTTCGATGAAGAACCTAATTATAATTTTTTAAGAACTATGTTTAGCATTTTATTTTATAAAAAATTAAAATATACATTGGATTTCGATTACGATTGGAAAAAACAAGGTGAGCCGGAGTTATTTTACAAGAATTTGGTTACTAGACTTTCGACTAGCAGTGTGAAGCGGAATAAATTGCAACAAAAGAAATTAAAGGGTATTAACGTGGAAGTATAAAGCTGCATTAATTATAATTGTTTTTTTTTTTTGAAATTCGTGATGTGTGGTTATACGGACTTTTCCTTGCATTCTTGGAAAATTTATTTATGATTGGAAATTTGTGTTGTTCACACTAAACCCGAAGTTATGCAGTGACTACAGGTTTCTTAATAAGTTTTAAAGAATACTATGCTCAAAAGGCGTGTTTAGATACTTTCGTTATTATATAGTCCATAAATTTAAAGGCTTTTAAACAGATAAACAGATAATTCACCTCAATATTAACAAGACTATGATATTAAACATTGGAAATCTAAGAAAGTATAAAAAAATAAATGCTTAAGAAATATTTTGAAGACCCATGATAGAAAAAAGGGTGAAGTACTTAAATTTTTTAGTTTAAATATTTCTGGCATGTGTATGTATTCTGTAATGTGAATTAATTGATATCTTTTTATATTTGTATATATATATATATATATATAAAGTTTCCAATTATATTAAAGTATTATAATAAGAAACTTCGATAAATTACCTGACAACTTAAGATTTGTTCTGGAAGCCTATTCGTTTAAAAAATATTTATTTCATATCAATTAATAAATGAATTATATTAATAAATTATATTATTAATTCCGTATATTTATATAATCTTAATAATATATTGATTTATGAATAAATAAATATGAATAAATTTGCTTAACATTGATGGATGAGATTCTTCAAGAATTGAACCAGAAGTTATATGAATTGAATCGACTGGATTGTTAGTGGGTGACATCTTCAGCCATTAGATTAAATTATCGTCTCTATAAAAATTATCACCCCAAACTCTCGTATATACATACATAAACCACCTATTAGATTTACATGTATGCACTTTTTTATTAATTTTTTTCTTCTGAAGCAGATTTGACAGTCGTTACTAACTTGGAAACGTAAGTTAGTATTGAGACTTTATTTACGATTTTGACTTAAATTACGCTAATGACTTAGATTTGCCATATTTTCACATTTTACTTTAGCAAATTAACCCAAACCTTTGTGCAGAATATTCACTAATCATATTGCATTAGTGTCTATAGGATACACCGAATATAAAGCCCTTGAGAAGGTTAGGTCAATTTTGGCCTGTCTAAGCAAAAGTAGACAGGCCATTTCAATTAACAGCAAAAATGTTGGCAGATTTCTTGGTCTAAATAGATCTAAACTCAGGATTCTAAACTGCTTTTTTAACTGGATATGCTCCTGTTCGGTAGCTTTTTTCACAGGTTATTGACACTAATATATTTCTGTGATTGCAGAGTTAACTTGCTCCTATTTTCTCTGCTTGTTTCAGAAAATGTGTTTAGTAACTCCATACTGTTTCCATTAAATCGAATTAGGTTTGGAATTCTCAACTTAATGATATTATTAGGCTTATCAATTCCCATAAATAGTTCGAATGAGCTTAGGAGAGTCTCTCTAGGACAACACAATTGATTTTATAAGTTGCAGTATTGTATTGTTTCTTCTTATAATAGTAATTGGTGTAAAATGAAATATTAATAATATTTTTAAATGAAATTTTATTTCTATCTTCACAGTGGCGTATACAAAGAGGTATGGATGATTTCGCCTCTAATATATTTTGAATAATTTTGCATTAGATATTAGATTTTACATTAGATTAGATTAAATTTGTGTTTCTATTTGAACAAAACGTGTTTTTTAATATACAAAAAGGTTCATTCATAAATGGTAATATTAAATCCATATTATTAATAATATTATGAACAGTTAAGAAAAGATCTTGATTACTTGACAAATTGAGAAACTAAACTTAAACACCAAATTGTAATTTAAAGTATAAATAGCAATTGTAAGAATAAGAAATATACTTTGCCAATGCACGATAAAAAAAATCTTAAATATTTATACTGCGTCAGCCATTAAGTTTAATGGATCTAAACTGATATTCTTTGTATCCTGTACCTTAGCTCCGTTATTTATTAAAGCATTGAATTGCGCTTGAGCTTCCTTTGTACCGCATAGCTCTCTTAAATCCTTAAAAGCAAATAAATATAAGATAAATAAGATATAAGATAAATAATGTGTACTTACTTCAAATTGTTCTTTTAAAAATTCACCTGTTGGACCATCCGGTGGAATTTGTGGCTTACCCTCTAATGCATTAGCCAAGAACTTGTATGCTTTTCTTTAAAGATTATATATTAAAGATTATTATAGAGATTAAATAGGTATTAAAAATAAATACATATTTTATATATCTATAAATTAAACTTACTTTAAGTCAATACCATCCAATTCTTCTGGATCTGGATGCTGTACATGATCAGCAATTTCATGATATATTATGGCGAGTTCAAAATCGCTGTGATCAGAAATCTTCGATTTTTCAAATTTTTTAAGCCATAAGTTTGCATTGACAAAGTGTTCATCATCGCATTCGCTTGCTAACATCTTCTTTGCAATCTGCATTCGATTCTTCACATACTCTAACACAAAAGAACAACATGCAATTTAATGCTAATCTAAATATTCCTTAAAAATGATTTCTTCTTATACCTAATACTGAAGTTTCTGGAAGCTTCAAGTTGGAGCTTATTTCTCGAACTGTTTGCATAGATGTTCCCAATGATTTTAATTGTTTTAATATTTCAATCTTATTTTCGGCACTTAAGATTTCTCGTCTTTTGAACAAAGTTTTATTTGCAGCTTTAAATATGCTTTTCCTTTCATTGAGAGTTTTGCGAGAATTTTTCTTTAATGTACGTTTTACTACACGTCCTGTGTTTTTATTTAACGGCATACCCAAATCTAAGTCATCAGTTTCTTGAAGGGTCTCCGTGTTTTCCTTTGTAGGCGCTTCCGATTCATTTTCTTCATGTGAATAAAGATTTTCTTTGAGACTTATTTTCGTGGTTTCATTAGATGCACTTGCTGTACCTTGTTGTTGTTTTGCCTGGACATTCGGTTTTGGACGTTTTACTACACGTTTTGTGCTTTTCATTAACGGGATATCCAAATCTATGTGATCAGTCTGGAAGGGTCTCCATGTTTCTGGAAAGGTCTTCATGTTTTCCTTTGAAAGCACTTCTGATACATTTTCTTCGTGTGTATCAAGATTTTCTATAAGACTTCTTTTCGTGGTATCATCAGATGCACTTGCTGTGCCCTGTATTTGTTTTGCCTGGACATTCGGTCCTGGACGTTTCACTACCCGTTTTGTGCTTTTTATTAACGGTGTATCTGAAACTATGTCATCAGTTTCTGGAAGGATTTCTATGTTTCCCTTTGTAGGCACTTCCGATTTATTTTCTTCGTGAGAATTAAGATTTTCTTTGAGACTTTGTTTCTTGGTTTCAATAGATGCACTTGCTGTACCCCGTTGTTGCTTTGCCTGGACATTCGGTTGTGGACGTTTTACTACCCGTTTTGTGCTTTTTATTAACGGTGTATTCGAATCTATGTCATTAGTTTTTTTAAGGGTCTCCATGTTTTCCTTTGTAGGCACTTTCGTTTCATTTTCTTCGTGAGAATCAAGATTTTTTCTGAGACTTTTTTTCGTGGTTTCAGTAGATGCACTTGCTGTGCCCTGTATTTGTTTTGCCTGGACATTCGCTTTTCGACGTGCTACTACACGTCTTGTGCATTTTATTAACAGTGTATTCGAATCTATGTGATTAGTTTCTTGAAGGGTTTCCATGTTTTCTTTTGTAGGCACTTCCGATTCATTTTCTTCGTGGGAATCAAGATTTATTTTGAGACTTTTTTTCGTGGTTTCAGTAGATACACTTGCTGTGCCCTGTATTTGTTTTGCCTGGACATTCGGTCCTGGACGTGCTACTACACGTCTTGTGCATTTTATTAACAGTGTATTCGAATCTATGTGATTAGTTTCTTGAAGGGTTTCCATGTTTTCTTTTGTAGGCACTTCCGATTCATTTTCTTCGTGGGAATCAAGATTTATTTTGAGACTTTTTTTCGTGGTTTCAGTAGATGCACTTGCTGTGCCCTGTATTTGTTTTGCCTGGACATTCGGTCCTGGACGTTTTACTACACGCCTTGTGCTTTTTATTAAAGGTGTATCCAAATCAATGTGATCAGTTTCCGGAAGGGTTTCCATGTTATCTTTTGTGAGCACTTCCGATTCATTTTCTTCGTGGGAATCAAGATTTTTTCTGAGACTTTTTTTCGTGGTTTCAGTAGATGCACTTGCTGTGCCCTGTATTTGTTTTGCCTGGACATTCGGTCCTGGACGTTTTACTACACGCCTTGTGCTTTTTATTAAAGGTGTATCCAAATCAATGTGATCAGTTTCCGGAAGGGTTTCCATGTTATCTTTTGTGAGCACTTCCGATTCATTTTCTTCGTGTGAGTCAAGATTTTCGTCCTTGGTTTTATTAGATGCACTTGTTGCACCCCGTTTTTGTTTTGCCTGCACATTGGGTTTGGAATTCTTCTTGCGCATAGTTATAATGGATGCACTTCTTGTTATTTTTAACATCGGCCCCTTTTTGCGATTTTGACTGTGGCGTGCAATTTTATATGATGTCTTACGAGTACGCATACCAGTCTTTCCTATTGGAACATCTGCTTTGAAATTATTAGAGTTCCTAGTTATCTTTTTTTTTGCTTACACTTGGTTTTTCCATTTCAGACATTATTGTACACTGTTTTGCCGCTTACATTTAATGTACTACACCAATAGCAATCAAAGAAATGGCGTCCACAAGAAGACAGGACAATGCATTTTAGAGTTATCAAATTTTTCTATGAAGAATAATGTAATAGATTGTAATTTTATTTCGTAAATATTTAAATTCACAATTGATTTTTCAAAGAAATTTCTTTCACGTTGAACAACCTTTATATTAATTATTTTCTTAATTATTATTATCAATTCTTTACTTAACCAATTTTTCAATAATTTCCAATTCTATGGTTACCTTCTAAGTTACAATTGGTCGTTATCTTTTAGCACTTATGTAAAAAAAGTTATTAAAGAATTACAATATAAAGTTAATAATACATAAATGGTATAACATCAAATTAAAGTAAAATTTAGTTCCTCGAGTTATCAGAAGATATTCGTAGTAATATTGTATTAATTAATACAAATCACATATTATGTATGATATATGATTTATATTAATTCATCATATTTGTAATTACAAAATAAATATTTATATATAATAGTACATTCAGACTATCTCATTTAGGTTCTTGCTCATTTATAATAATGAGTGAACGTTTACATTATGAGCTAATTTATGCAGTTGATTAAACTTTTATAAACTTCATTTGATAATATATCAGACAAAAAAATTAAATATATAATTGATCACTTAATATAAATTTTATATATCCATTACATACTCAATTAATAAAAACAAAGATATTATTAAATACTTACTTCCTTAGTGCTTTTGTTTACAGCTCAGCTGTTATTTGTTTACATTTTACATATAAAACATATGACACATATATCATATTTTGGTAATTTCTCTTGTGAAAAATTAATTAAAGGTTGCATTCGACATTTTATACTGATTTATTGATAATGAACTTATTTTATTTTACCAATACAATATGATCTATCCAACGTGGTAAAACGAGAGCGTTTCTACTTATTTGGTAGAAACGAATTGATCAATTCACGAAGAAAACTTTCAGAAGAACACTAAACGGTCCCTCAAAACAAGTGTGTTCAATGTATTACATTATTGTATGGCTTTTGTGAGCGCGTCGGTATAGTCTGCTGGGACCTGTAAGCAGATAACAGGGTGCTGATGGATTGCACTGTGGTCTGGTTATATTTAATAGAGCAGCCAGAGACTGTTGCTTCACTGTGGATTGGGTGCTCTATTAGCCTGTAGTTAAGAATTCCTGATGCCTCATCTAATTTTTCTTTCATTTGGCTTGCCCATTTTAAGACAGTCATCCACTTCAAAATTTGCAATTTTAATAATTGTTTTTTAAATTAATAATATAAACTTTTTATAATCAATATTCAATTAAATGACAAAAATTATACAATTGATGAAGTGATTGTACAATTTTATTTAAAATAATAAATAAATTAATTTACTTATCTTAACCTCGTTTGACTATTGTTAAGCTATATTGAAATCAATATAGGAAATTGTATTATATAAAAAGTTATATTATACTTATTCAAATAAAAAGTAATTTATTCAATATTAAAAATCATATATTTATATATGTCCTTCTATGCTTGGGATGTAATTTAAAGGATCAAGACTTATCTTAGATCTCTTATTTGTACCTTCTTGCTGATGTTTATTTCCAAGCATTAATTTTATATTATTAGTTTGTGTTTGAGCTTCCTCTTCAACAGAAGTTTCTTCTAATTTCTAAAAAAGAAATATATATGTTCATATATTATATAATTGCTTTATGATTAATGTATACTTGCCTTTAATTGTTGCTTTAGGAATTCACTTGTTGGACCATCCGGTGGAATTTGAGGATTACCCTCTAATGCATTAGCCAAAAACTTGTATGCTTTTCTTTAAAGATTATAGTTTGTGTTAAAAAATTAATGTTTATATTAAGAACTAAGACTTACTTTAAGTCAATCCCATCCAATTCTGCTGGGTCTGGATGCTCTTCGGTATCAGCAATATTATTATATAGATACGCAAGTTCGAAATCGGTGTGACTAGAAACCTGATAGTTTTCATATGTTTTAATCCACAAGTTTGCGTTGATGAAAGATTCATTTTTGCATTCTTCTGCCGCTTTTCTCTGTCCAATTTGCATTTGCTGCTTTACATATTCTAATAATTAAATGGGAAATATGTAGTCAATTTTTATATAAATAATATAAAGAATATTATATGCTGTTATACCTAAAACTAAAGATTCTGGCAGCTTGAATTTGGCAATTACATCCCGGACTGTTTTCATTGTCGTTCCATGTTCTTTTAAATATTGTAATATTTTTATTTTATTTTCAACAGTTAAATTCTTTTTTTTTCGACCTCTTTGTGAAGTTTTTTTAGTATTTGCTGCTATTAAATTATTTTTTTGGTTCTTTTTACATTTTGATAAATCCGACATCTCCGTGCCAACATCAGAATCATTACTGTCGGAGTTATTACTATTAGCATCTTCTTCTTCTATGATGAAATCAAACTCGTCAGATTTATCGTTACCTTTTCCTTCTTCAACTACATCCGTGCTCATTTTGCCCATAATTAATACTTTTTATTAACAAAATCTACGAAATTTTGTTTACACAACAATTCAGTAATAACCAAATTAAACGATGAACTGTCATCCGCAATTTGACTGCAAAACAAATGTAGAGTTACCATCTCTTTTTATAGATAATAACGTAATTTTACGGTCACGGTGATATTAAACACTTCAACTCATATGAATCATTAATAAATAATAAAAATGAACAAAAATTTGAATACGTATACCAGAGAATCTGACGCATACATTCGCAAAATTGCTGTAAAATACTTGTATGAGTGAAACTCTTATTAAATTTGTTTAATAATAGTTTTGTACATAATTATAAATAAAATTTGTATATTATAATTTGTTTGTACAAAGTTGTTATTTAATGCTTTATTTGCAGGGATTTCTCAAACACACGAAACAAAACACAACAAGAGAAACTTCAAAATTAACATCCAATGTATAATGTAAACGGTGCAGATTAAAACATGAAGATTAATTTAATCCCGTTTTTTTAATCACACAATGCAAACGTAGTATAACACAGAATATATAATTGTAGTTAAAAGATTTCAATCTTTATGTTTTTTTATCTGTTTTGAAAAATGAACAGCTGATAGTTGCACAGATTTAGCATAAAATGTGTTTAGAAGTAGTTTTATGTTTTCATTCTCGTAAATTTGTACGTTTGCCGATTTTATTGCCTTGCATGCGTACCCTTATTTTAATAAAATCATGTTTTATTGTTAAAAATACAAACGTTCATTTCTAATTTTAATTAATTAATTTTTTAATTTAATTAATTCATTAAAATTTGTAAAAATTAAACAATTATTTCTTACTTCATTTTTAATACGACGCAAACGTTAATGTTCTGATATACTATACTGTATTTTTAAAAATTAGAAAATATGTATTTTATATATTCATGTACAATATACATGCTTTTTGTACAGTAGGTCGTTTATCCTACTATTGCTTCTGTATTGCGCAGAAGCATTGACGTTGTCACCAAATGATAAAGTAGTACTAGGTGTTATCGTAAGATCTTTGGTTCTCCATGAGTTGACGACGATTTTCGCAGCGGAAAAAACTCACAAACTATAAGACATTTATATACCATAAATCAGCAAATTAACATCCATTTTATTTAGTAAGTAAATTAATATTTAAGTAAATAATTAAGTAAGTGAAACATTACGTAAAATAAATTAAATTTATTAATTCCAAAATTAACAAAACTTCAGAAAAATCTGTAAACATAAAAGTCAAGTACGGCTTTGGGTCAGTTGGTTAAGGTGCGCTGACTTTAAGCTTTAAATTTGGCAGGACACGAGTTCGATTCCTGGTACTTGAAGTTCGTAAAAAATTATTTACGTTTAATATATACAAGAATTATTTCCAAGATCACTGATGATGGGTATTTGGTAATACTTGAAACAACTGTATGTTCAGCCAAAAATTAAATTAATTAAAAAATAATAGAAAAAGAATTTTTGTTGTTGTAGTTCAATACTTTTCGAAAAAAAAACCTCTTTATTAAATTAATTAAATTAAATTAAAATATATTAAATTAATAAATTAAAATAAATTACAATTATTTCGTATTTGTTAATCAATGCTTTTAAAATTGATTTTAAAATCTGTTTAATAAGTGAATTTTGGGCTCGAGTAAACAATACACAAGAGGAATAATGTTTTTGTATTCATTGAATATCTTTAAACAATTTACTGTCCCGCTACTGTTTATATATATGTATAAACAGTAGCGTGAAACAGATGAGTACCTTTAACTATTTTACTGTAACGCTACTGTTTATATATATATGTATTTACGTATAAACAGTAGCGTTAAATAAATGAGTACCTTTAACCATTTTACTGTCCCGCTACTGTTTATATATACATATGTATATAGGTATAAACAGTAGCGTGAAATAATTGTGGTTGAACAAACGCCTGTTTTAACTTACGGTCTTTAGTTATAATTGTAGCAAAGAGCTTATAATAAGCTTTTGTTTATAGTTTCAACCGTTATATTTCAATATATGAAAAGTACTATAATTTTTCGGAATTTAATACCGAATATAGGACATGACAAAAACAGTTTTTGTTTATGTTAAATAATTTTGAACTTCTCTTGATTGTTTCTTAAATTGTTTATTTCTCTTAAAACGTTAACAGTTTTAACAGTTTAAAAATTAATCAGCAAACTGCTTCATTGTGTTAAAAGATGCCAATTTAACATTACTGTTAACCGCTATGTTAAGTTAACAGCAGCTTTACGACTTTGTTGCTCGTGCAGCCTCGCAAAGTGTCAAAACAGACAACAAGTTGCAGTTTCCTTTTAACCACGTCAACAAGCGTTACATTCTAGTGAATCTTCTGTGTATTAATTGGGCCGACAAAGCAGACGGCGAAACTATTTGAGTTTTCACATACAAACAATGTTCCGCGTGATTTAAGTGCGTTTAAAGTGTGAATATAAAAAGGTTAAGAGTTTGTTGAGATTTCATGAATCCCTTCAAAGGATTCTTTTTATTTTAAGTGGATTATGTTGAAGAGTTAGTGTACAATTTAATTTTGTTGCCTCGCATATGCTAAAGTGCGTGTATATATTTTAGTTACAAAAGCATGACACTATCTTTAAGGATGTTGCCTTCGAGCATTTTCATATTTACAATTTTACAAAAATATGACAAAAAACTATTGGAACTCAAAAACATTTCTGTAAAGTTCTCTGGAAGTGCATTATAGTCCTTAGTTGCAAATTGAATTTTTGTTCCTGCAGATGTACTTAATTTTCCTGTCTGTTATTAGATATCCTGTGCTTTTTCCAACGAAGCACAGATTTTCATAGTTTCATTTATTTTAGTTTTTATATTTACTTTCTGTGTAAGTATTAAGTACAGATAATAATAGAAAAATATTGCCGATAAATATGTGGTGCAATGTCCTCGAATCTATATCCTCAACTAAGAAATAAGAAATAAATATATTAATATTTTTTTTAGAATCTAAAATTTCCCTTTTTTTTGTGTTTTAAATGTCAACAAAGAAAGATTCCGAAATGACTGAATTTTAAAAATAAATTTAAGGATATGCATGAGAAAATACTTATTTCCTTTGGGAGAAGTTGTTCAAGTTAAAGATGCTTTTACGATTCCCACTGTTGAGAGACTACAAAAGAAGACACAAAAAATTTATGAAGTTCATGAAGTCATGCTCATTTGTATGTTAATTTAATATTAGCACAACTTGGTAGAAAGTTTTGGAGGATACTCCATATTATGGTTTACAAAGGGACAAACAACAAACTTATGCACTTGTGAAAATAAAATTTGATTGTTAACAATTTAAAGTATTGATTCACTGCTTAAATCAACTTGATTTTCAAAAGCAAAAAAAGTTTTAGTTTTTTCTTAGTTTTGAAAAAAGATTTTGCCAAAACTTCGTTTAGATTATCAATTCTAAAGCATTTAGTTAAAGCTTTAGTTAAGTGGATTAGTTGATTAGCCAAGATTATTCAGATCCTTAGCAATAACATATAGGAGACCTTAAAGGCAGTTAACGAATATTGGATGGTAAAGAGGTAAATTTGGTTGGTCGACATTAATAATAGACCTGTAAGATGGATCTATACCATCTTACAAATCCTTAAAAGCAGTCAAAGAAGTTAGGTGGATAGGTAAGAACAGTTAATAAAGATGAAAAAGAAGTTATGTATAGTTTGCTGGTCGATATCACGTACAGAACTGATACAATCATAGATATATCAGAAAGAAGTCCTTAAAGGCAGTTAACGAAGGTGGGAATGGAGTTAGGAAGGAGTAAAAAAAATTAGAAGAATAGGTTAAAAGAGCGTGGATCTACATTATATATAGACCTGACGGATGTAAAGTGATACCAAATTCTTAAAGACAATTAGTGAAGGTAGGAAGGTGGAGTTGATTAGTCGATATCATGTATAGACCTGACAATACTTTTCTAGACCTGACAAATCTACCTACTCAATAGATTCAGTTGGTCGAGATCTCCTAATGACCTCACAGTTCCGTATGAATGTAATATAAGTATCGTTAAAGATAGTTAATGAAATCACGGCGTTGCTCATAGGCTAAGCACTGCAGTTCTTTTGGGAACCCTTCCGTTCTGCAGAAAATTCAACGCTAATTCGTGGTAGCACATCGGGCCATTATTTGAGCTCAAGTTAACATTTACCCACAATGCCACTACAACTTAATCTAACCCCTTTGCCATAATCTTAGCTTCGCTATCGCCTCTGATCCATAGTTTGGTGAAACAGATGCTGCCTTCGATGTGGTTGTTGTTATGTGACTTCGAAACTTTCCAAATATTATAGTTTGCGTTTGCTAAGGCCTTTGTCTGCTGCAGAGATATTAACAAGGTTGCTCCTATTATTGCTTTTTTACCTGAACCTTCATTAGTATATGCGGGATGTGTTTTGAGAAGGACATAGTTGATGTTAACTAAGAGAGGTTATGTTTATTGCATTCTCTCTCCTGGTAGATTTTCATCTAATATTTAAAATTTATTAATTTTATGTCATTATTTATGTTATTTATTAAATAAATATTGCATGTTTTTAATTAATAAACAAATAATGTTAATGAAACTTTTTATCAACTTTTCATAAAATATTTATAAAGATAATAAAATCAAAAAAATTTAAATAAAAATCTCAACAAACTAAACCGCAAATTAAATGTAGAACCCTTACAAAAAAAGCAACCAACCTGCGGCATTAGGATAAGGAAATATATATAGAGTCCTTTGTGACTTCAGATTTAAAACTACCTACGAAGAGGTGAAGGAAAAAATTTCATCTTAAATGCGAGTGAACTAAAAAATTATTAAAACATAAAAAACCAATGAATATTTAAAAAAATAACATAAATACAAATACAAAGCGCTGATAAGGGCGAAAAAATTTTTAAAAGAAAAATTCTTATAAAAACTCATAATAAATCGTACAATAAAAAGTGCCGTAGTCGTTGAATGCAAGGATTTGCCACTTTTATCTTTCCGCATATTTAAGTGGACGAAAAAACATGATT